TGTAGGTGAACTATAAATCCCAGCAACTACAACTCCCAAATGACAACATCAATCTCCTCCAACCCCACCAGTATTCAAATTTGGGCATATCGGGTATTTGTGCCAAATTTGGTCCAGTGAATGAAAATCCATCCTGCATATCAGATATTTACATGACAATTCATAACAGTAGCGAAATTACAGTAGCAACAAAAATAATGTTATGGTTGGGGGTCACCACCACATAATGAACTGTATTAAGGGGTCGCGACATTAGGTAGGTTGAGAACCACTGAAGTAGAGTGTATATACCTGGACATTCCACAGGTATATATACATTCCACTTGCCTTACAGCAAACAGAACCTCTGAAGATGTTGGCCACAGAAGCAGGCAAAACTTTAGAAGAGAATGCTGCCGAAACATGGCCAGAAAAACTCTGCTCCCATGTAGAGAACATTGCAGTAGTCTATACGGGATGTAACCAGAGCGTGAACCATCGTGGCCAAGTCAGACTTCCCAAGGTACGGGCGCAGCTGGCGCACAAGTTTTAATTGTGCAAATGCTCCCCTGGCCACCACTGAGACCAAGCTCAGTGATGAATCCAAGTTCACACCCAAGCTGCGAACCTGCCTCTTCATGGGGAGTGTCACCCCATCCAACACAAGCTTGTAAGCCGCTCTGAGTCCCCTTCGGGGTGAGAAGAGCGGCATATTTGTTGTTCATTCGTTCAGTCGTCTCCGACTCTTTGTGACCTCATGGACCAGCCCACGCCAGAGCTCCCTGTCGGCCGTTACCACCCCCAGCTCCCTCAAGGTCAGTCCAGTCACTTCAAGGATGCCATCCATCCATCTTGCCCTTGGTCGGCCCCTCTTCCTTTTGCCTTCCACTTTCCCCAGCATAATTGTCTTCTCTAGGCTTTCCTGTCTCCTCATGATGTGGCCAAAGTACTTCAACTTTGTCTCTAATATCCTTCCCTCCAATGAGCAGTCGGGCTTTATTTCCTGGAGGATGGACTGGTTGGATCTTCTCGCAGTCCAAGGCACTCTCAGAATTTTCCTCCAACACCACAGTTCAAAAGCATCTATCTTCCTTCGCTCAGCCTTCCCTAAGGTCCAGCTCTCACATCCGTAGGTTACTACAGGGAATACCATGGCTTTGACTAGGCGGATCTTTGTTGCCAGTCTGATGTCTCTACTCTTTACTATTTTATCGAGATTTGACATTGCTCTCCTCCCAAGAAGTAAGCGTCTTCTGATTTCCTGGCTACAGTCTGCATCTGCAGTAATCTTTGCACCTAGAAATACAAAGTCTGTCACGGCCTCCACTTTCTCCCTCTATTTTCCAGTTGTCAATCATTCTCGTTGCCATAATCTTGGTTTTTTTGACGTTTAGCTGCAACCCGGCTTTTGCGCTTTCTTCTTTCACCTTGATTAGAAGGCTCCTCAGCTCCTCCTCGCTTTCGGCCATCAGAGTGGTGTCATCTGCATATCTGAGGTTGTTAATGTTTCTTCCAGCAATTTTCACCCCAGCTTTGCATTCAAGCCCCGCACATCCTCGCATGATGTGTTCTGCATACAAGTTAAAAAGGTTGGGTGAGAGGATGCAGCCTTGCCGGACGCCTTTCCCAATCTTGAACCAGTCTGTTGTTCCGTGGTCAGTTCTGACTGTTGCTACTTGGTCCTTGTACAGATTCCTCAGGAGAGAGGGAAGGGGGCTTGGGATGCCCATCCCACTAAGAACTTGCCACAATTTATTATGATCCACATATAAATGTCGTAAATAAAGAAATAAAATGGAGATGTGAGGGGGGAGGAAATAGCAGATTCAGCAAACAAGTAAGAACTTTATGGTGCCTATCAAGCTAAGTAAAGGAAGGGGGGATAATATGTCTGACACTTGCTGCTCGATGGAACTCAGTGGAAAACAAGGCCCAACTGCCACTGCCCAGATGCCAGTTGAAGTGTCGTACTCAAGACAGGCCAGAAACCATTTTGGGCAAAAATGAGGGAAGGGATGCAACCCCCATGAAAATCCGAAGGGAAGTGTTGCGGACATTACAGACATAATGAGCAAACGTATAACTGTGTTAAAGCAAGACACCAAAAAAGGGGAATGCAACCATCCATTTTTAAAGTTGCCCTCACTCCACCTCCATCGAAAGCAGGAAAGGCTTGCTCAAGAGATGAGCCATAGTATGCATATCACGACTGTTACATGCCTGAAGGGTGAAAAAAGGGGGCAGAAAGTGCCGGACCATACCCCAAGGCCTCTTCTCAGGCATCGCAGACACATAAAACGCACATCCGTTGGGCGGCTTTTCCCTCCACATGAGGGACACGTCTTAAAGAAAGTGGTGGTCAACATACCATAACCATGACAAAATAAATAAATAAATAAATAAATAAATAAATAAATAAATAAACAAACAAACAATCTACAAACCCACCAAGAAAATCCAACAAATGCTACGTTCAGCAAAGGACAAGAGGGATCCTCTCACCTCTGCAGGAGTCTACCATTGTATACCATGCAGCTGTGGACAAGTCTACAGAGGGACCACCAAACGCAGCAGCATTGCCCAGACACATCAAGGAACATGAAAGGCACGGCAGACTACTTCAACCAGATAAATCAGCCATAGCAGAGGACCTTATGAACCAGCCTGGACACAGCATATTATTTGAGAACACAGAAATGCTGGACCACACCAACAACCACCATGTCAGACTACACAGAGAAGCCATTGAAATCCACAAGCATGTGGACAATTTCAACAGAAAGGAAGAGACAATGAAAATGAACAAAATCTGGCTACCAGTATTAAAAAACTCTAAAATTATAACAGCAAAACAACAGAGAGGAAAAAACCAGGCACAGATTAACACCTCCCAGCAACAGATTTTCCCAGGACTCAGGCAGGCCTTCAAATGCTAATGAAGGTGATCAGCTAAACATTCACACCTAACTGCAGCAGGGAAGAGCTCCTTGCCCCACCCCAGCCATTCCACAGATATACAGGGTTAGTCAAAATGAATAGGCCAATAGGAAAATTAATTTTAGACGAATGTATGTTTATTGTAACCAAACTACAGCTACGTAGCGACAGATAAACTATCAAAGTTTTGTCTCACCTTCAGAGATGTTCGATATGGGCGCCCCGTGTGACACGGCAGATGTCCAAGCGATAGTCCAGTTCATTCCACATCCGTTGCAGCACATCCGACGTAATGGCATCGAATGCAGCTGTGTCTTCGGAGACACGTGGTCGTCCTGTGGTTTTACCCTTGCATAAGCAGCCCGTCTCCTCAAATTGCTTTACCCACCTCGCAATGGAATGTCGATGAGGTGGTTCCTTGCCATACTTGGCTCGAAATTCTCGCTGGACCGTAATTACTGACATTGTTTTAGCAAATGTCATCACACAAAACGCCTTCTCTTTGCTTGATTCCGCCATTTTGAAAACAGCGACCCCTAGCGACGCCTAGCGGCATTAACGTACATGTGTGTTGCTCAAAAAAAACTTTGATAGTTTATCTGTCGCTACGTAGCTGTGGTTTGGTTACAGTAAACATACATTCGTCTAAAATTAATTTTCTTATTGGCCTATTCATTTTGACTAACCCTTTTTCCTACTTCCAACAGACCTCACACCTCTGAGGATGCTTGCCATAGATGCAGGCGAAACGTCAGGAGAAATGCCTCTAGAACATGGCTCTATAGCCCGAAAAAACCCACAAGAACCTAAATAAATAAATAGTCAAAGATGAAGAAAAATGAGAGAAAGATTCCTAGCTGCTGCAATGGCGGTGGATGAAAAGATCTGAGACAGTAGCCTCTCCCACTGGCTATATATACTCTCATGGGGAGAGTGGGCGGGGCTACCGCCTAAAAGTGTCTAATAAATTTTCTAGAACAGGGGTCCCCAAACTAAGGCCCGGGGCCCAGATGTGGCCGTCCAAGGTCATTTACCCAGCCCTCACTCAGTATAATAATAATAATAATAATAATAATAATAATAAACTTTATAAACCTCGCCACCATCTCCCTGATGGGGACTCGGAGCAGCTTACATGGGGCCAAGCCCGGACAACATAATACAGCAATTAAATCAAAGTATATACATCAGACAACAACAACATTATCAAAATGGCATTAGAATAATAATAAATAAATAAATAAATAAATAAATAAAATTCCAATAGACACAATCACGATAGAGATGACAATGGGCGGGCAACGTATTCCAAATAAAAAACAATTAACAGACTATGGTGAGATAAAATAGGAGCAGGACATTTAAATGGAACTCATATCAACCTAAGTCTGAAACAACTTGAAAGCACCCAAAAAACAACAATCCTACCTCATCAGCCAAAAATAGGTCCACACTTCCCATTGAAATACTAATAAATTTATATTTGTTAAAATTGTTCTTGATTTCAATTAATGTATTGTTCTTAAGTGTTTTTTGCACTACAAATAAGATATGTGCAGTGTGCATAGGCATTAATTCATTTTTTTTTTCAAATTATATTCTGACCCTCCAACAGTTTGAGGGACTGTGACCTGGCCCTCTGTTTTAAAAGTCTGTGGACCCTTGTTCTAGAAGATTCCAAACTGTCTGCGCAGGTGCCGGAAATACCATATGTGCAATTCACAGGGACCACGATGGGGAAACCATTTCGAGCAAAAATGAGGGAGGGGAATGCAACCCCCCTGAAAATTAGAAGGGCAGCGTTGCGGACATTAGAGACATAACGAGCAAATGTGTAACTGTATTAAAGCAAGACAACAAAAAAGGGGAATGCAACCATCCATTTTTAATGTTGCCCTCACTCCACCTCCATCACCAAAAGAAATAGTTTTAGCCATTTTTCCTCACAGTGTTGGGATAAAGCAAGGAGGAGAGGGGGGGAAATATCACAAACAGACTTTGGCTTGTTTGGTTTTCAAGGTGGCCGGGCCTGCCGCTTAGTCATGTGATTCTTCCCATTCCGCGTCCGCCGCTCCTCCCCTCACCTTGGCGGGAACTGCAGGTTTCCCATTCAGAGCCACCTGCTGCTGGGAGGCCAGCTGTCCGGCGGGGGTCACTTGGGACGTCTTCAGCTTCTTGGCCTCAGCTTTGGAGGGCTGGCCTTCCTCTTCCTCCTCGTCGGAATCGCGCAAGCCATATTTGGAGAAGTGGGAGACCTGGGAGGAGAAATAAAAGCACCGACCGGTAGGCTGTTAGGAATTGTGGGAGTTGAAGTCCAAAACACCCAAGTTTGCCCATGCCTGCTGCACATTTTCAGTATTTATTTATTTATTTATTTACAGCATTTATCTTCCGCTCTTCTCACCCCACAGGGGACTCAGGGCGGATCACAATGCACATATACATGGCAAACATTCAATGCCATAGACACACAACATATAAAGACAGACACTCAAAGGCTATTTAACATTCCAGCTTCATGAGGGTATGCTTTTTGAATTCCGGCCACCAGGGGAGCTGTTGCTTCACCATCCACTTGTGACACCGATGGAGTACTTCCTGATTCTTTTGCATGCTGCTGTGGAGTTTTATGGTGTCGTAAATTACTGTATATACTAGAGTATAAACTGAACCGAATATAAGTCGAGGCACCTAATTTTACCACAAAAAACTGCAAAAACGTATTGAATCGAGTATAAGCCGAGGGTGAGAAATTTAGCTTGTACTGGTAATCATCAGTAGGTTAAATGTTTTTGAGTATTTACATACAATTGTAATTTAAGATAAGACTGCCCAACTCTGATTAAACCATTATTCTAACCTCCTTCAATGTAAATGTGCTTACCTATTACCAATGATGATAGAGTAAAATAATAAATGCAATAACATGTAATAATAATAATAATAATACAGTAAATAATGGAGATTTAATAATATTGCTCATAATAAAGTAATAAATGTAATAATAACAATAATAAATTAATAAATGTAATAATAATAATAATAATAATAATAAATAGACTAAAATAATAAATGTAATAAATTAATAATAGAGGAAAATAATGTAAATGTAATAATAACAGAGTAAAATAATAAATGTAATTAAAATAATACTAATAACAGAGCAAAATAATAAATAACCTTGACTCGAGTATAAGCCGAGGGGAACTTTTTCAGCCTAAAAAAGGGGCTGAAAAACTAGGCTTATACTCGAGTATATACAGTAGTTAAATTAGCCTCCCCACATAAGCGGTACCTAAATTTCCGACTTGACAGATGCAACTGTCTTTCAGGCTGTAAAGATCGACAGCAAGCTAGACAAATGGCCGGAAGCTCACTCCGACTCGGGCTGACGTCGAACTCATGACCCCTTGGTCAGTAGTGATTTTAATGCAGCTGACTCCCAACTAGTTGCGCCACATCCCGGCCCATCATGGAGGTGTTGCCCTCCAGAACAGGAATAACCCTCTAACTTTAAAACACCACATGCTGAGTAGGGAAAACAATCCTTTTATTAAAGATAAGTAAAAGCAGCAGTTTTAAAAAAGGCACTTTAAAGGGATAGATAATTCCAATTAGGTAAAAAGATAAACGGGAACAAATTAGGCCAAGATAGAGTTCAGCAATGTCCAAAAGCAAAGTCCACACTTCTCTAATATAATCCAGAAAGACAGTAATACATTAATCCAAGGCCTGAGCAGGTAATCACAAGAGACAAAAACCCAAACAGGAAACAAGAAATCTTTAAGCATGAATCTTCCAAGCAAGGCTTCTATGAGACGAAGACAAGAACCTAGCAGGATTCCAAACAATGCTTCTTCTGGCTAGATTTCCCATGCTTGGAACTTTTCAGCCTTTCCAAGCCCTCAGAAACTGGTTTCGCTTTCCTTTAGCAGCCCTTATCTTTTTCTGTCACAGCCTGGCAGAACGCCGAAGGCCTTGCTCGGCCTGCCTGTTTTGACTAATCTCGGCCCGCCTATCTATATGCTCATTAGTCTCCACAGGTGCCAAGTTGTTTTCAAGCCTCAAATCCTGGGAACTCTCTGGGAGCAATTCAGGGAGTACACCATCACCTCTATCATGGGAAACTACACTTGGAAAAAGTGCCTCTATGTCATTAAATTTATTTATTTATTTATTTATTTATTTATTTATTTGATGCACTTATTAACCGCCATTCTCAGCCCATGAGGGCGACTCATGGCGGTGTACAGTACACATAAAAGACAATTACAAAAAGCCAGTATTAACAGCATATAAACTAACAACAATTACAGACTACACTAAAAATCCGCTTCGTCTCATAGTGGAATCATACCCAGTCTCATATTCCTTGTTCCATTCCAAATTTCTTTACCGTAATGTTGCACTTAATTAAATGCCCTCTCGAACAGCCATGTCTTAAGGCTTTTTCGATATATAAATAAACAAACAAACAAACAAACTTTATTTATACCCTACCAGCATCACCCCAATGGGGACTCAGCCAAGCCCAGACAACATATTACAGCAAAATAAAACCGAAACATAAGCAACAAGCAGTAACATCATAATTACATAAAATATGAATACATTATCAATATAACAGTACAATAAACACAATCACAGTGACAGTGGGCAGGCCACATGTGCAGGATAATATGTTAAAAACTCGAATGAGATAAGAGGAAGAGCAAGTTATTTGCAAGAGGGAGCTCATAAAAAAAACAGGGTTGTGGAACCAAACTTTCCCATTTGGGGGGGGGGGGGGGGTGTATTCCAGTGACAGAAGCGTTGAGGGAAGCAGTAGTGTCATGTTGTGCACCTACTCACCAAAGACACAGCAGAAGAACCAGGTTTTAAGGTCCTTTTTAAAGGTTTCTAGGGTAAGGGCTTTCCTGATCTCTCCAAGTATTGAGTTCCAGGGTCAGGGAGCCACAGAGGAGAAGGCTCTCTCCCTTGTGCCCGCAAGACGAGCTTGTGAAACTGGCAGGGGCGAAAGGAGGGCCTCTCCCGAAGATCGAAGGGCCCGGTCACGAAGGTAGGCGGGTCCCAAACCATTTAGGGCTTTATAAGTGATAACCTGTACCTTGAATTGGGACCGGAAAATAAATGGCAGCCAGTGGAGCTCCTTAAACGGGGGTTGACTGCTCCCTGTAACTAGCCCCAGTTATTAATCTGGCTGCCGAACGTTGGACAAGTTGTAATTTCTGGGTCGTCTTCAAGGATAGCCCCACGTAGAATGCATTGCAGTAGTCCAGTCTAGAGGTAACTAAGGTGTGGACCACCGTGGTCAAGTCAGCCTTCTCTGCATCAATACCACTGACCAAACCATTGCCATCTTGAACCTCATTGACATCATTCCCCACATCCAAAGCACTCTGATCCTGAAACACAATCACAGGCTGAACTTCAACAGAAGGCTCATTTTCCGTTCTCGTCTTACCTTAAAGACCCATGAGCCTGTTTCAGGGCGGTACTCCTTGAACTGGGCCCCCTGCTTCCGGGAGGCGGCCTCCAGCCGGCCTTCGTAGTTGATCTCCGCCAGCCGCTCGGGGCTCTTGATCAGGCAGCGAGAGGTCTTGTCCGTGGGCCAAACACCATCCAGAGTGACTTCGGCCGGCCTGCGGGAGAGGAAACGCTAGAACACGCCTCGCTCAACAAACACAGCTGGGCATCCCTCAGGGGCCAACAAAACGAGGGGAACCAAAGAGGGAACCAAATGCCGTTACCTGTTCAGGCCTTCCCCAACGGGAGGCTTTGGCTCATCATCCGGGTAGACGATGACCTCCTTCCTGCGGATGTGAACAATCTCGTCCAGGTTCAAGTCCGTGAGGTTGACTTCGCCCTCAAAGCAGATTGAGCCATAACCTGAAGGGAAGAGACCCAGCACAGTCTCAGTCCACACCTGAATGCTAGAACACCTTCCGGCCTATGAACTGCCTAACTCCCCATGAGAAAGTCATTTCCAACCAACCATAACATAGCAACAGCCTAAACCGATCAAAGGCCTGGAAGCCATGACTCCCTCTGAGGGAGTTGGGGATGGTTAGCTTGGAGAAAAGTTCTAGGATACTATGGTTATCTGATCCTGGCTCTCGTGTCCTTTTCACTTACATCCAGAGAGCGCTGTGGACTCAAACAATGATGGATCTGGAACAAACTTGGCACATATACTCAACATGCCCAAATGTGAACACTGCTGGAGTTTGGGGGAAATAGACCTTGACATTTGGGAATTATAGTTGCTGGGATTTATAGTTCACCTACAATCAAAGAGCATTCTGAAACCCACCAAGGGTAGAATTGGGCCAAACTTCCCACACAGAACCCCCACGACCAACAGACAAATACTGTGTTTTTGTCAGGATTATTGAAAGTATGCATGTATGTTTTTTCAATGTGTTTCAATATGTTTAACAATGGTGTTCATATGTATTCAAGATGGATTCAGTTATGTTCAATTGTATGCTGGAATTGTTGTTGTAAGAGACAGAGAGGCAGAGAAGAAAAGACCTTGACAGAAGTAAGATAACAAGTTCCCTCTATCTGGGAAGAATTAGGGAGTGGCCGGCTTACAGCTAAAGTGAAACTGATAAGCAGATGTTCTGAATACTGTTTTGTGCTGTGCTTTGTAGTTCATGATGTAGCCAGCTGAGAAGTAGACGTGTATTGAGATGTACTAAGTAAACTTGAAGTTATTTCTGAAACTGGAAGACTGCAGTGTCCTGTTTTGTGTCTGTGTGATCTAGTAACCTCAACTCCGCTGCACGTAGACCCCAGGGTCTTCACTCTGACAGTTTTCTCATGGTCTAAGCGACTCCTCTGACACCCCCTTGCAACTTTCCAACCCCCCCCCCCACCCTGGGGTCTTGACCTCCAGGTTGAGAAACTCTGGCTTAGACTGTATCTTTCTGCCTGGTGGGAGGAAGTTAGACTGAATGGTTAAAGGGATTCAGTCCAACTCTAGCATTCTATAAAATGTTATTTTACAAATTAAGCAACAAAACATCATGTTTTGCAACCTATAGTCAGAAAAATCAGTCCAATACATGGTAACGTTATGTCGTAATTACTGTATTTACGATTTTTTAAAAAATTATTTTTATTAGAATACTTTTTCAGAATAATACAAAATACAAAGTACAGCGTAGATACAAAGAGGGAGGGGGGTTCACTATACATTAGAGTTTAAAAGACAGAGGGGGGGGGAAGAGGGGGATTGAGGAGGGGGGGAAGGAGGGGATGGGAAAAGAGGTAAGATAAGAGGGGGAGGAAAGGGGCTAAGGGGACATGGAAGTTGAGGGGGGGGAGGAAAAGAGTGACTTCCTATTCCGTTTTCACCGCGTTCTCGGTTTGATTTCTTCTTAACTTAGTGCGATCTGAGGCCTATCCCTTTAGGCTCTAAGTTATTTCTTATTTAGGTTTCTCTCATCTCGCTATGTTTCTTGTCTTCTCCTAAAAAACCGTTTAGTAGGCTCCAGTCCGTCCTCTTTAAGGGACGGCCGTTAGAGTCTTTCAGAGCATAAGTTAGCCTATCCATTTCTCTTATTTTTAATATTTTGTCCATCCAGTCTTGTTCCGTTGGGATTTCTTTTAATTTACACTTCCTGGCGAAGACTATTCTTGCGGCCGTCGTTAGAAAAGTGAGCAGTATATCTTCGTTTACGCCTAATTCCCATTCCTCTTTGAATATACCTAATAGGTAACACTCCGCTCTCTCTTTAATCCTAATTTTCAGGATTTTTTCGCAGGTTTCATTTACTCCTTTCCAATACTTCTGGGCTATGGGGCATGACCACCATGGGTGGAAGAAGGTGCCTACTTGATCTTCACATTTACGAATTTAGCACCAAAACATCGCAATATATTGAAACAGCTGTGGATCCAGGTGGGCGGCAGACTGCGTTGGATAATATAGAACGTTGGATGAGTGAAGGTTGGAGAAGCGAGACTCTACTGTACTGTTAATTGATGGCTTTCCATACTACCAATAGTTATGTTATAATGTGTATACTTTGGAAATAATAATAATAATAATAATAATAATAATAATCACACGAAAAACCCCAAATTTCTGGAAGAGAGAAAGCTTTAAAGCAGTGTTTCTCAACCTTCCTAATGCCGCGACCCCTTAATACAGTTCCTCATTTTGTGGTGACCCCCAACCATAACATTTTTGTTGCTACTTCATAACTGTAATTCTGCTCCTGTTATGAATTGTAAATATTCAATATGCAGGATGTATTTTCATTCACTGGACCAAATTTGGCACAAATATTCGATATACCCACATTTGAATACTGGCGGGGGTTGTGGAGGATTGATTTTGTCATTTGGGAGTTGTAGTTGCTGGGATTTATAGTTCACCTAAACTCAAAGAGCATTGTGAACTCCACCAATGATGGAATTGGACGAAATTTGGCACACAGAACTCCCATGACCAACATAAAATATTGGAAGGGTTAGGTGAGCACTGACCTTGAGTTTTGGAGTTGTAGTTCACCTACATCCAGTGGACTCAAACAAAGATGGATTTGGGTCAAACTTGACATGAATACTCAATATGCCAAAATGTGGACACTAGTGCTAGAGTTTGGGGAAATAGACCTTGACATTTGGGAGTTGTAGTCACTGGGATGTATAGACCACCTACAATTAAAGAGCATTCTGAACCCCACCCATGATAGAATTGGGCCAAACTTCCCACACAGAACCCCCATAACCAATAGAAAATACCGTGTTTTCTCATCATCTTTGGCGACCCCTTTGACAACCCCCTGGCGACCCCCTCAGGGGTCCCGACCCCAAGGTTGAGAAACACTGCTTTAAAGCATGAACGTCAGGGAGGAGGGCCCCTCCTTGAAGTCTTCTAAAATAGGGAGGTGGAAATCCGAGCAAGAGGTGCGTGTGCTCACCTTTGCGGCCAATGGTGAAGCCCGACACGATGCACTCCCCTTGGTCGTCGGTCATTTTGGCCAGCTCTTCCATCGATGGAATGGTGTAATACCCGGCCCGCGTTAAGACAATCCCTGGAAGAAGCACAACCGGGTTACTCAAGGGCACACTTCTCAGCCACTTTGGCAGCAAGTGCAGTGGTTTAAGGGCAGAGCAAAGTGAAGGGAAACACATGATAGTTTTGTTAATTTTAACGTGCAAACTGAAAGAAGCAGAGCTCTGTAGTTGGAACCACGTGTAGATTAGAGCTTTCAAAACATTTCACGTTGGTGACAAACTCCTTCGACATGCAGCCATTCGTGACACAGTAATTCAGTTTTACTAGCAAATCCCCAGGTTGAGATGCCTTGTATCGGGGGACTTCCCCCTTTTCACGATTTCTATGACTTCTTTATACGAGTGTGTGGTTCACAATAAATGCGTTATCAACCGTACGAAGCTGGCCCTACAGTTTGGTTTTCGAAAGTGAGCAAACAAGGCATCTCAACCCGGGGACCCTTGGCGGATATCATTTCGGAGTATATGGACAATATTTTGGACAATAGTTTATGTTCTCAAGGACAATTCTGTTGTTGTTCATTCGTTCAGTCGTCTCCGACTCTTCGTGACCTCATGGACCAGCCCACGCCAGAGCTCCCTGTCGGCCGTTACCACCCCCCGCTCCCTCAAGGTCAGTCCAGTCACTTCAAGGATGCCATCCATCCATCTTGCCCTTGGTCGGCCCCTCTTCCTTTTGCCTTCCACTTTCCCCAGCATAATTGTCTTCTCTAGGCTTTCCTGTCTCCTCATGATGTGGCCAAAGTACTTCAACTTTGTCTCTAGTATCTTTCCCTCCAGTGAGCAGCCGGGCTTTATTTCCTGGAGGATGGACTGGTTGGATCTTCTCGCAGTCCAAGGCACTCTCAGAACTTTCCTCCAGCACCACAGCTCAAAAGCATCGATCTTCCTTCGCTCAGCCTTCCCTAAGGTCCAGCTCTCACATCCGTAGGTTACTACAGGGAATACCATGGCTTTGACTAGGCAATGGATCTTTGTTGCCAGTCTGATGTCTCTACTCTTGACTATTTTATCGAGATTGGACGTTGCTCTCCTCCCAAGAAATAAGCGTCTTCTGATTTCCTGGCCACAGTCTGCATCTGCACTCATCTTTGCACCTAGAAATACAAAGTCTGTCACGGCCTCCACGGTTTCTCCCTCTATTTTCCAGTTGTCAATCATTCTTGTTGCCATAAAGGACAATTCTAAGACTGTGTAAATATTTTCCCAATACTTATCCTTTGTTTGGAAAGTTCAGACAAAAAAGTGAAGATACAAACTCTGCCTATCTTATGTATTTTCTTCTTGTGACTTATTTGCAACTGTAAACAGATTTATTATTATTATTATTATTATTATTATTATTATTATTATCTTTATTTGTACCCCGCTAGCATCTCCCGAAGGACTCGATGCTGCTTACAAAGGCCAAGGCCTCAAAACACAACACAACAATACAACATCTAAAGCAAATTAAAAACAGTTAAAACAATATTAACAACAAGCAATAAAACAATACATCAAGACACTATAAAAACTGGGCCGGGCCAGAGTAATGGGTACAAGCTTAAAAGTGCTGATGTGACAGGAGGTATGTAAGGATTATGGGGTAAGTGCAGTGTGCAGCAATCTTAGTTCTACTAAAGTGCGTCTGGGACTTGTTATTGGAGATTTACATAGCTAATGATAAGAAAACACGGTGTGGCATCTTCAGAAGGCCCAATGATAGTCAAGAAAATGGAGAATACATACCTGTGGAATGTTCAAGGTGGAAGGAAAGAACCACTGTCTGTTAACCAAGTGCAAAGGGTGCAATCTGCAAGCTAGATTTGTGTGTGTTGAGTGAGAGCCACACATTCGCATGTGCGCAAACTTGAAAATTGTCAGAAATTGGTATTTTTAATTACAAAAATGTGAGTCAAGCACTGAAAGAGTAGGCCAAAGCCTGTTAAGAGTCAGTTGGCCAAAGCTAGTGTTGTCCTGAGGAGAGTGAGGTAAATCTCAGTCTGAAAGAAGCCTTGTGTGAGAAAGCTCCAGTGTGAAGACTGCTGAGTGTAAAGCCACTATGTATTTGTTGTGCGTGCGTGCGTGTGTTTGTTATGGAAACCTAGTTTTTGTAAACAGTGCAACCACAAAGAAATAATAATAATAATAATAATAATAATAATAATAATAATAATAATGTTATCTCTATGGAAGAGATAACATTGCTCTGATGCTTCTTATCACTTTGGGCTCCTGGTGCTGGGCCACGCTGCTTGTAAAAAGTTCCACAAGAAGTGGAAAAAGGGAGAAATCACCAAAGTAGAGTACAGGCAAGCACACAATCTAAAATACACGTATACATACACACAGGGAAGAAGTCTCGTCATCTTGAGATGAATGGCCTGCCTCAGGGGAGCGTGCTTGCTCCATCCATGTTCAACATCTACACAAATGACCAGCCACTGCCAGAAGGGACAGAGAGCTTCATCTATGCTGATGATCGTGCCATTACCACTCAAGCAGGGAGCTTTGAGATGGTTGAACAGAAGCTCTCCGAAGGCCTAGGTGCCCTTACTGCCTACTACAGGGGAAACCAACTGATCCCTAATCCATCTAAAACACAGACATGTGCCTTTCACCTTAAGAACAGACAAGCATCCCAAGCTCTGAGGATTATTACCTGGGAAGGAATCCCACTGGAGCATTGCAGCGCACCCAAATACCTGGGAGTCACTCTGGACCGTGCTCTGACCTACAAGAAGCACTGCCTGAACATCAAGCAAAAAGTGGGCCCTAGAAACAATATCATACGAAAGCTCACTGGCACAACCTGGGGATCACAACCAGACACAGTGAAGACATCTGCCCTTGCTCTATGCTACTCTGCTGCTGAGTATGCATGCCCAGTGTGGAACACATCTCACCACTAAAACAGTGGATGTGGCTCTTAATGAGACATGCCGCATTATCACGGGGTGTCTGCGCCCTACACCACTGGAGAAATTACACTGCTTAGCCGGTATTGCACCACCTGACATCTGCCGGGAAGTAGCAGCCAATAGTGAAAGGACCAAGGCAGAGACATCTCCAGCTCATCCCCTGTTTGGGTATCAGCCAGCACGTGAACGACTTAAATCTAGACATAGTTTTCTAAGATCTACAGAGACATACGCTGGAACACCTCAGCAAGTGAGAGTCCAAAAGTGGCAGGCTCAAACCCAGAACCTCAATCCATGCCTGATACCAAATGAGAGACTCCTCCCTGGGCACACAGCGGACTGGGTGACTTGGAAGCCGCTGAACAGACTGCGCTCTGGCACCACGAGATGCAGAGCCAATCTTAAGAAATGGGGCCACAAAGTGGAATAATCCACGACATGCGAGTGTGGAGAAGAGCAAACCACTGACCACCTGCTGCAATGCACCCTGAGCCCTGCCACATGCACAATGGAGGATGTTCTTAGAGTAACAACAGAGGCACTCTAAGGGGCCAGATACTGGTCAAAGGACATTTAATCCACTACCAAGCTGGCAAACTTTGTGTTTTGTTTGACCATTTGCTTATTTTTATTTTTTTTTGTCGTGTTAGGAGTGACTCCTGGTGTGAGAGAATTGGCCGTCTGCAAGGACGTTGCCCAGGGGACGCCCGCATGATTTGATGCTTTTATCATCCTTGTGGGAGGCTGCTCTCATGTCCCCGCATGAGGAGCTGGAGCTGATAGAGGGAGCTCATCCGCCTTTCCTCGGATTCGAACCCGTGACCTGTCGGTCTTCAGTCCTGCCAGCACAGGGGTTTAACCCACTGCGCCACGGGGACTATTTTTTTTATCGTGTCAGGAGCGAACCAAACAGTTGTACTTCATTTTTTAAATTAATTAATTTATTTATTTACTTTGCTTGTATACCGCAGTTTCTCAGCCCGTAGGCGACTCAACGCGGTTCACAACAAGAGCAAAAAGTCAATCCAACAACATACAGAATTTAAAAACCATTAACAACATAATATACAGAATAATGACACATGCAATACAACTGTTTGGTTCACTCCTGACACGATAAATAAATTTTAAAAAAATGCCAGCATCAGATCCTCTGGAGATGCCAGCTACAGATACAAGAGAAGTGTCAGGAGAAAATGCAGGCAAAACGTCAGGAGAAAATGCTGCAAGAATGCAGTCATCCAGCCCAAAATTACACAACAAGTTTGCAGACGACACCAAATTGGGAGGGATAGCCAATAGTCCAGAGGACAGGAGCAGAATTCAAAACGATCTTGACAGATTAGAGAGATGGGCCAAAACTAACAAAATGAAGTTCAGCAGGGACAAATGCAAGATACTCAGCTTAGGCAGAAAAAAATGAAATGCAAAGATAGAAAATGGGGGACAATGCCTGGCTCAAGACAGTACCCATGTGAAAAGATCTTGGAGTCCTCGTGGACAACAAGTTAAACATGAGCCAACAATGTGATGTGGCGGCAAAAAAAGCCAATGGGATTTTGGCCTGCATCAATAGGAGCATAGTGTCTAGATCTAGGGAAGTAATGCTACCCCTCTATTCTGCTTTGGTTAGACCACACCTGGAATATTGTGTCCAATTCTGGGCACCACAATTCAAGAGAGATATTGACAAGCTGGAATGTGTCCAGAGGAGTGCGACTAAAATGATCAAGGGTCTGGAGAACAAACCCTATGAGGAGCGGCTTAAGGAGCTGGGCATGTTTAGCCTGAAGAAGAGAAGGCTGAGAGGAGATATGATAGCCATGTATAAATATGTGAGAGGAAGCCACAGGGAGGAGGAGGGAGCAAGCTTGTTTTCTGCTTCCTTGGAGACTAGGACGCAGTGGAGCAAATGGCTTCAAACTACAAGAGAGGAGATTCCATCTGAACATTAGGAAGAACTTCCTGACTGTGAGAGCTGTTCAGCAGTGGAACTCTCTGCCCCGGAGTGTGGTGGAGGCTCCTTCTTTGGAAGCTTTTAAACAGAGGCTGGATGGCCATCTGTCAGGGGTGATTTGAGTGCAATATTCCTGCTTCTTGGCAGAATGGGGTTGGAATGGATGGCCCATGAGGTCTCTTCCAACTCTTTGATTCTATGATACAAGAGAAGTGTCAGGAGAAAATGCAGGCAAAATGTCAGGAGAAAATGCTGCAAGAATGCAGTCATCCAGCCCAAAATTACACAACACCCCAGTTTTGCATTTGTAAGAAGGCCCATAAATGTGCTCACGTCCAGAGACCTCAGAGACCACACCCACTCAACACCTGGGCCAGGTTTTACAGTTCAGAAAAGGAGGCCAGAGCATTTGGGTACCTGCCAGCGCCGTCACCTGCCCGCTCCCCCGGGCGGCTGCGGCCTGCTCTTTCCGCCTGCAAGCCTGGCACCTGGCGGCATTTCCTGGGAGAGGGGCGGGGCGCCCCGGACGGACCCAAGCCTCACCCGCAGGATGCAGCTCATGCACTCTGTCCGCCCCCTCCTCCGGGTCGTCCTGCAGGGAGTCTTCGTGGCCAAAGGTCTCCTCGCTGCTGCTTTCCAGCCCGTTGCGCAGCGGCGGACGCCGGTTCAGGACCGCGATGGTGTCGTCCGCAATGTGGTTGTGATGCTTGTGGGCGGCCTCCTCGGGGCTCTGCGGGAGGAACCTGACCCCAGGGTTGGCGTAGAACTGCGTCATGTCGCGAGAGGTGGAAGGGTATTCCCCTTCCTCTGGCTCTCCGTCCAGACGGTGGTTCTCACCGCTCTCGTCCACTGACCGAGAGAGGAAGCTGAATCTGAGGGAAGCAAAGTCACAAGGGTGAGATGCTGCAGCAAAGGAGGGCTAATTCCACTGCATGCGAGGATAGGGATCATGGACTCCAACACTCAGAGGGATACAGTCAATGTGGCATTCATACTCCAGAGACAGCAGGCAGCTTAAAAATGTCATTATTATTATTATTATTATTATTATTATTATTATTATTATTATTTTATTTGTACCCCGCTAGCATCTCCCGAAGGACTCTATGCGGCTTACATAGGCCAAGGCCTCAAAACACAATACAACAATACAATACCTAGAGCAAATTAATCATAGAATCCGAGAGTGGGAAGAGACCTCCTGGGCCATCATCCAGTCCAACCCCATTCTGCCAAGAAGCAGGAATATTGCATTCAAATCACCCCTGACAGATGGCCATCCAGCCTCTGTTTAAAAGCTTCCAAAGAAGGAGCCTCCATCACACTCCGGGGCAGAGAGTTCCACTACTGAACGGCTCTCACAGTCAGGAAGTTCATCTTAAGAGTTGGAAGAGAGCTCATGGGCCATCCAGTCCAACCCCATTCTGCCAAGAAGCAGGAATATTGCATTCAAATCACCCAACAGATGGCCATCCAGCCTGTTTAAAAGCCTCCAAAGAAGGAGCCTCCACCACACTCCGGGGCAGTGAGTTCCACTGCTGAACGGCTCTCACAGTCAGGAAGTTCTTCCTCATGTTCAGATGGAATCTCCTCTCTTGTAGTTTGAAACCATTGTTCCATTGCGTCCTAGTCTCCAGGGAAGCAGAAAACAAGCTTGCTCCCTCCTCCTCCCTGTGGCTTCCTCTCACATATTTATACATGGCTCTCATATCTCTCAGCCTTCTCTTCTTCAGGCTAAACATGCCCAGCTCCTTAAGCCGCTCCTCATAGGGCTTGTTCTCCAGACCCTTGATCATTTAGTCGCCCTCCTCTGGACACATTCCAGCTTAGAGTCGATACCTCTCTTGAATTGTGGTGCCCAGAATTGGACACAATATTCCAGATGTGGTCTAACCAAAGCGGAATAGAGCATGGGGAGCATGACTTCCCTAGATCTAGACACTAGGCTCCTCTTGATGCAGGCCAAAATCCCATTGGCTTTTTTTGCCGCCACATCACATTCCTGGCTCATGTTTAACTTCCTGTCCACGAGGACCCCAAGATCTTTTTCACACGTCCTGCTCTCGAGCCAGGCATCATCGTCCCCCATTCTGTATCTTTGCATTTCGTTTTTCCTGCCCAAGTGGAGTATCTTGCATTTGTCACTGTTGAACTTCATTTTGTTAGTTTTGGCCCATCATCTCTCTCATCTGTCAAGATCCCTTTGAGTCCTGCTCCTGTCCTCTGGAGTCTTGGCTCTCCCTCCCAATCTGGTCCCATCTGCAAACTTGATGATCATACCTTCTTGCCCTTCATCTAAGTCATTAATAAAGATGGCTATGTTTAAGTATTTGAAAACATAGCATACTGAGGAGGGGGGCAAGGTTGTTGTGTGCTGCTCTGCAGTCTGGGGGACACAATGGAGCCATGGGTTCACACTGCAGGAAAAGAGATTCCAAACCATAAGAAGAAATTCCTGACAGTAAAAAGAGCTGCTTGGCAGTGGAAGATGCTGCCTCGGATGGCAGTGGAAGATGCTGCCTTCCAGTGGAATCTCCTTCCTTCTCTGGAGGTTTTTAAAGCAGAGGCTGGATGGCCATTTGCCGGGAGGAATCAGATTCTGTCTTTCTCCCTGGCAGAAGAGGGTTGGACTCGATGGATGTAGCATAGACACCAAGAACTGGGAAGCCCTGGTCCTTGAGCGCTCTACCGGCTGTTAGGAACTGTGGGAGTTGCAGTCCAAAACGCCTGGAGAGCTGAAGTTGGCCCATGCCTGCTGTATACCGTTCTGCTTTGCTCAAAGGCTTCTCTTTCATCAAAACAGGGCAATCTATGGGATTGGCAGCTGTCGGGATGGCATCCTTTTCCGAAGCCGAGCCAGACACACAGCTTTCCTCACAAGGGCCTCCTTTGTTTTCCTTCCCTCCTCTGCCAGCTGCAAACAGGACCGGATCTGGCCCGGTCTCTCTGCCCCACTGTTGTTAAAGGAAAAGACCTGGCAGTGTCAAAGAGGTGGCAAGCACAACTGAACCCTTTCCTTTAGTAGGAAGGGAGGCCACGGCCGAAGGACGCACCGTTCTCCATTCTGTGGGGACTCCGAGGGGGAGGCCTGGTCGTTGCCTTCGCTGGGAGAGAAGAGGCTGCTGGTGTTGAGGTTCTTCAGGACCAGCTTCTTAATGCTCTTCCTGAAACAGAGAGAGAGAGAGGCACATGTTGTGAGAGGGGGACACAGTGTTGGAGCAAGGACATGTAAAGGGAATGCCACAAGGAAGAAGAAACCTGCTACTAAGGAGGCTGTCGAAGTCCTGAACCGGTGCCTGGCCGCTGTAATGGTCTGGATGAGGGCGAACAAACTGAAATTAAATCCAGACAAGACAGAGGTACTCCTGGTCAGTCGCAAGGCCGAACAGGGTATAGGGTTACAGCCTGTGCTGGACGGGGTCGCACTCCCCTTGAAGGCGCAGGTTCGCAGCTTGGGTGTGACCCTGGATTCATCGCTGAGCCTGGAGCCCCAGGTCTCAGTGGTGACCAGGGGAGCATTTGCACAGCTTAGGCTCGTGCGCCAGCTGCGCCCGTATCTTGGGAAGCCGGACTTGGCCACGGTGGTACATGCTTTGGTCACATCCCGCCTTGACTACTGCAACGCTCTCTACGTGGGGCTGCCCTTGAAGACGGCCCGGAAGCTTCAGCTAGTCCAACGCGCGGCAGCCATGTTATTAACAGGAGCAGGACGCAGAGAGCGTACAACGCCCCTGCTGTCCCAGCTCCACTGGCTGCCGATCTGCTACCGGGCCCAATTTAAGGTGCTGGTGTTAGCCTACAAAGCCCTAAACGGTTCCGGCCCAAAATACCTTGCAGACCGCATCTCGGCCTATGAGCCCACGAGGGCCTTGAGATCTTCCGGGGAGGCTCTTCTCTCGGTCCCGCCTGCCTCGCAGGCACGTCTGGCGGGGACGAGAGAGAGGGCCTTCTCGGTGGTGGCCCCCCGGCTGTGGAACACCCTCCCTACTGAGGTTAGACAGGCGCCCTCTTTGATGGCCTTTCGTAGGAGCCTGAAAACTTGGCTCTGCGAGCAGGCCTTCAACTAAGTGTATCTGTGGAAAGACGTTAGAACGGACTATGACTACGAATTTGGCTATGACCCCAGAACTAGACGAAGCGGATTTTTAGTATAAGTATATGTTGTAGTAGTAGTAGAGTGTTGTTGTGCTGTCTTGATTTACTGTAAATTGTCTTTTCTATGTTTTTGTACACCGCCGCGAGTCGCCCATTGGGGCTGAGAGCGGCGGTTAATAAGTGCAAGTAATAAATAAATAAATAAATAAATAAGAAACTAAGGATGGGTTAAAGCAGGCATGGGCAAACTTGGGCCCTCCAAGTGTTTTGGACTTCAACTCCCACAATTCCTAAGAGCCAGTCTGTTAGAGATTGTGGGACTTGAAGTCAAAGTGCTAAGTTTGCCAAGTTTTTAGGCACTGCTTTAGAAGCCCAAAGAGACCTAAAAACTTGGCTCTTCCGATGTGCCTTTGGAGAGTGACCATATATCCCATTTCTGTCTGTTCCATCTACAGTGTCGTCCTCATGATGCACTTTCCCTCATCCTTAATGAAGGCTTAACCCCACGGTTCGTCCATTAGGAGCTCCTCCCTCACAAATACACTGCTATCTCATCCAGGGTTTTATAATTTTATCATGTGCATTTGGCTCATCCATTGCGTTCGATTTTTCATTACGTTTATTTTATCTCGTTGCTTTACGTATTTTATTGTGATGTAATTTTTCATTGTTTTGTATTTTATTTGCTGTATTGTATTTTTGGGCTTGGCCTCATGTTAGCTGCCCCAAATCCCCTTTGGGGAGATAGTGACTGGGTATAAATATTGATTTATTTATCTATTTACTAGCTGTCCCTTGCCACACGTTGCTGTGGCCCAGTGTAGTGATCTGTAAAATAAAGTAATGAGAAAGTGTTGGTTTCTAATATATGTAATTTCTTTATTCTTGTGGGCAAACAGTATTTCTTGTTGTTTCTTTGTCAGTGTTGATGTGGAGAGTGTCTGGTTTGCCTCCTCTGGAACATGCAACATATCATTGTCCTTCTTTAGGGTCCCTTTCAAATCTATGATACTATAACTGTGTGTGTGTGAATCATATCTATCTCTATCTATGGCTGGATGGCTCTTTGTCTGGAGGGCTTTGATTACGTTTTCTTGTCCTGGTGAAGGGAGCTGGACTGGATAGCCTTAAATATTTTCTGTTGGTCATGGGGGTTCTGTGTGGGAAGTTTGCCCCAATTCTGTCGTTGGTGGGGTTCAGAACGCTCTTTGATTGTAGGTGAACTATAAATCCCAGTAAGTACAACTCTCAAATGTCAAAGTCTATTCCCCCCAAACTCCATCTGGGAATATGGAATATTCGTGCCAAGTTTGGTCCAGATCCATCATTGTTTGAATCTTGATGTAGGTGAACTACAACTCCCAAACTCAAGGACAATGCCCACCAAACCTTTCTAGTGTTTTCTGTTGGTCATGGGAGTCCTGTGTGCCACGTTAGATTCAATTCCATCATTGTTGGAGTTCAGAATGCAGAATGAACCTTTGATTGTAGGTGAACTATAAATCCCAGCAATTACAACTCCCAAATGACAAAATTAATTGTTTGAGTGATGGTCACTCCTTGAGTTAGTAGGCATCTTGTGGCCAAATTTGGCGGCAATTTGCCCAGTGGTTTTTGAGTTATGTTAATCCCACAAACGAACATTACATTTTTATTTATAGAGATTACATTTCTACCCCGCCCTTCTCCCCACAAGGAGATGATGGTGATGAAGATGATGATGATTACTGAGAAATAAAGAAATGGGTTGTTATAGGTTTTTTAAGGCTATATGGCTATGTTCTAGAGCAGGGGTCTTCAAACTAAGGCCCAGGGGCCGGATATAGCCCTCCAAGGTCATTTACCCGGCCCTCACTGTGGGTCAACCTAAATCTGAAATGACTTGAAAGCACACACAAACAACAATCATCCTATCTCATCAGTCAAAAACAGGCCCACACTTCCCATTGAAATACTAGTATGTTTATATTTGTTAAAATAGTTCTTCATTTTAATTATTGTATTGTTTTAAAATGTTTTTTTCCCCCACTACAAATAAGATATGTGCAATGTGCATAGGAATTCATTCATGTTTTTAAATATATATATAATCCAGCCCTCCAACAGTTTGAGGGATTGTCACCTGGCCCCCTGTTTAAAAAGTTTGAGGACCCCTGTTCTAGAGGCATTCTCTCCTGACGTTTCACCTGCATCTATAGCCCAAAAAAACCTACAACAACACAGTGATTCAGGCCATTTAAGACTTCGACAATACAAATAAAGAAATGCTTGCTTTGAAGCTGAGAGAGGTGTGCATCCTGTTCAAGCTGCCTTCCCTGGACTTTGGATCAGGAAGTCACTGCACCTCTTCCAGTTTCAGTCCATCAGGAACCTTTTTGTTAAAGGCCCTCTCTCCCTCCCCCTTCAAGAACTCCATGTAATTCACAGAGAGACTGGCTACTCACTTGGGCATGAAGGCCCCGTTGGAGAGGGCAGGCTCGTCGTCATCCAGGCCGTCAAAGAGGTGGGACTTGGAGGAGCCCGTGGTCTGCAAGGCCTTTGGCCGCACGCGGGTGGCTGGGCGAGGGGTCAGCTTGTAGTGGGTGGGGGTGGTCAGCGCCTTCTGGGCCGCTGGGTTGGTGGGCTTCAGCCTCTGAAAACCAAACACAAGCAGCGGTGGGCCTCAGCCATTGTCCGATCAGACCCAGAGCTAGCCAGTTACGTGTGTCCTATGGGCGAGTGGGCTTATTAAAAAGACCCTCATCATAAATGTACAGTAGATTAACTTATTAAGCAGCAGCATGACCCAGCACCAGTAGCCCAAAGTGCTAAAAAGAACACAAACACACAGACCAATGTGATTTCTTCCTTATGAGGCTTTTCTTTATAGCAAAATAATATAGTTGCACTATTTAGAAGAACAAGGTTTCCATAACACATTATCAAGTTATTTATACTTCCTTCTTTGCTTCCACACTGGGCTTCTTTCTCATAGAATCAAAGAGTTGGAAGAGACCTCATGGGCCATCCAGTCCAACCCCCTGCCAAGAACCAGCTTCACTCATGCAACTTCGCTCTCACTGAGGTTCCTCTCACACCGAAATTACACAAGAGCTTCACACAGTAGCTTTTCACAGCAGCCTTCACACAGGAGCTTTACACACGAGGTCTTCAACCTGGCGCTTCTCTTACCGAGTTTTCACACCAGGCTTCTCACACACTGAGGCCTACTAACACTGAGGTTTACCTCACACTGAGGCTTCTCTCTGACTGAAGCCTCTTCATACTGAGGGCAACTAACACCGAAAGAATACTAAGTTATAGCCACACCTTATATTGAATGCAGCATTTGCTGAGTCACTGCATCCATTTAACCCTTCCAGTGCTTGACTCATAGAATCATAGAATCATAGAATCAAAGAGTTGGAAGAGACCTCATGGGCCATCCAGTCCAACCCCCTGCCAAGAAGCAGGAACACTGCATTCAAATCACCCCTGACAGATGGCCATCCAGCCTCTGCTTAAAAGCTTCCAAAGAAGGAGCCTCCACCACACTCCGGGGCAGAGAGTTCCACTGCTGAACGGCTCTCACAGTCAGGAAGTTCTTCCTAATGTTCAGATGGAGTCTCCTTTCTTGTAGTTTGAAGCCATTGTTCCACTGCGTCCTAGTCTCCAGGGCAGCAGAAAACAAGCTTGCTCCCTCCTCCCTGTGACTTCCTCTCACATATTTATACATGGCTATCATGTCTCCTCTCAGCCTTCTCTTCTTCAGGCTAAACATGCCCAGCTCCTTAAGCCGCTCTCATAGGGCTTGTTCTCCAGACCCTTGATTATTTTAGTCGCCCTCCTCTGGACACATTTCAGCTTGTCAATATCTCTCTTCAATGGTGGTGCCCAGAATTGGACACAATATTCCAGATGTGGTCTAACCAAGGCGGAATAGAGCATGGGGATCATTACTTCCTTAGATCTAGACACTAGGCTCCCATTGGTGCAGGCCAAAATCCCATTGGCTTTTTTTGCCGCCACATCACATTGTTGGCTCATGTTTAACTTGTTGTCCACGAGGACTCCAAGATCTTTTTCACACGTACTGCTCTCGAGCCAGGCGTCCCCCATTCTGTATTTTGTAATTAAAAATACCTAGTTAATTGTTAATATTTCTGCCAACATTCCAACTGAGATTGTGAGTATGATGGGGGTGAGTTTAAAGGCTATTTTAAGTGTATTTATTACATTTTAATCTGTCTTTACCACACTATTTAGTTGTTTAACTTTTGTATTGTGGGTTGTTGTAGATTTTTGGGCTATATGGCCATGTTCTAGAAGCATTCTCTCCTGATGTTTTGCCTGCATCTATGGCAGGCATCCCCAGAGGTTGTGAAGTCTGTATTGTGTTTTTAAAACTTGACTATAGTGTGGGATTGTCAGCTGCCTTGAGTCCCCATGGTGAGAAAGGTGTGGCATAAATAGAGTTAATAAATAATAATCATCATCATCATCATCATAATTTTGCTCCTGGAGTTCCAGCTCCTCCTGCTATTAGAGAAAAACTCTTGTCTTGGTCCAGACCAGCCCTAGTTTCACATCCGCTCTGCCATGTTCCCCCTTTAGCAGCGGTTCTCAACCTGGGGGTCGAGACCCCCAGGGGGGTCGTTTGGCCAATTCGGAGGGGTCGCGAGGCTGCCTCCTTTGGCCCCGCCCCCTTCGCCTGCTCAAAATGGTTGGGCAAATTCTCCCTCGCCTGCCAGCCGGCAAGTACAAAAACTGGGCAAGGGGGGCTCCGCTCAAGGCCTGGCCTCATACGAAGCCTGGTCTCCCCGCTTTCCGGCTGGTGGGATTGCGAGGCAGGCAAAGCAGGCTTCATCCGAGGCCAGGCCTCGACCGGAGCCGGACTTGCGTGGGTTGCAATCCCGCTGGCCGGCAAGGCCGAGAACTTCAAGGCTTGGCCTTGCACGAAGCCTCCCTCTCCTCGCTTGCCGGCCGGCGGGGTTGCAAGGCAGGTGAGGGAGGCTTCATCTCCCCTAAATCGTTGTCAATTCCTCCCAACCCCCTCCAGTATTTTCTGTTTGACATGGAAGTTCTGTGTGTGCCAGGTTTGATCCAGGTCTGTAATTTGTGAAGGTCTCAGTGGTCTGTGGAAGTCAGAGCTGAATAGGTTGAAGGTATCTCAAATCCCATAATCTGTTTTCCATATTCCCCCAAATACATTTTTCCCTGATTAATCACTATGCTTTAATTATGTTGAATTTGTAACAATGAAAACACATTCTGCCTATCAGATATTGACATTACAATTTGTAACAGTAGCAAAATTACAGTTCTAAAGAAGCAACGAAAATAATTTTATGGTTGGGGGTCCCCACAACATGAGGGACCCTATTTAGGGTTCACGGCATTGGAAGGGTTGAGAACCACTGCCCTATAGCCCTCCTCCCTTCAGCACCCCACAGAGTCAGGGAATCCCTTCCCTGCTTACCTCTTCTTTCTTCTTGGGGTCAGACATGGGGTTCCGGAAGAGCGGGGAGTCCCCGAAGGGCGAGTAAGTCAAGCTGTTGAGGTGCTGCTGCAGAATCGCTTGCTGGGCGGCCGAAGCATTTGGGTCCGTCAAAGCTAAGAAGTCAGAAGCAGAGCAGAAGCACCCATTGGTCCAACGTCCGGCAAGGGAGATAGATGCTTCCAGGTTTAAGAATTGCTCCTGAATGTCATGCATTGGGTTTTATACTGACTTTTCTGCCACATCCCCTTTACTTGCCACAGCACTGGATGTGGCGCAGCTGTCTGGGAGTCAACCTGTATTAAATCACCACTCATGAGTTCGAAGCCAGCCCAACCATTCGTCTAGCTTGCTGTCGACCTTTGCAGTGTAAACGACAGTTGCATCAGACAAGTAGGAAATTTAAGTACCACTTATATGGGGAGGCTAATTTAACTAATTTATGACGTCATAAAAATCTCCAGTAGCCAGCAAAAGAATGAGGAAGTACTCCATCAAGGACTTGGTGTCACAAGTGGATGGTGAAGCGACAGCTCCCCCAGTGGCCGGAATTCGAACATACCCTCATGAAGCTGGAATATTAAATTGCCTCTGTGTTTCTATCTATATATGTTGTGTATCTATGGCAGAGGTCCTCAAACTACGGCCCGAGGACCGGATACGGCCCTCCAAGGTCATTTACCCGGCCCTCGCTCAGGGTCAACCTGTCTGAAATGACTTGAAACCACATAACAACAACAATCCTATCTCATCAGCCAAAATCAGGCCCACAGTTCCCATTGAAATACTAGTAAGTTTATATTTGTTAACATTGTTCCTCATTTTAATTATTGTATTGTTTTAAAGTGTTTATTACACTACAAATAAGATATGTGCAGAGTGCACAGGAATTCATGTTTTATTTTTCAAATTATAATCCGGCCCTCCAATAGTTTGAGGGACTGTGACCTGGCCCTCTGCTTAAAAAGTTGGTGGACCCCTGGTCTAGCTTGCTGTTGACCTTTGCAGTCTAAAAGACAGTTGCATCAGACAAGTAGGAAATTTAGGTACCGCTTATGCGGGGAGGCTAATTTAATTAATTTACGACGCCATAAAAAACCTCCAGCAGCCAGCGAAAGAATGAGGAAGTAGTCCATCAAGGACTTGGTGTCACAAGTGGATGGTGAAGTGACAGCTCCCCCAGTGGCCTGAATTCGAACATACCCTCATGAAGCTGGAATATTAAATTGCCTCTGTGAGTCTGTCTATCTATATATGTTGTGTGTCTATGGCATTGAATGTCTGCCATGTATATGTGCACTGTAATCTGCCCAAAAAATGAACAGACTCAGAAGCGGAGTCGGCAGATCAAAAGACAACCTGGCAAAATGGCACGACCTAAAAGAATACCACACCTTGTGTGATTGTGGTGCAGAACAGACAACTCCGCACTGTATGCTTGTCCAATGTGCCCTGCCTCATGTACAAAGGAAACTGTCCGAAACTGACTGCGCAGGCGCAGGAAATACAATATGTGCGATTTCACAGGGACTACGATGGAGAAAATAATACCATATATTCCGGCATATAAGACGACTGGGCGTATAAGACGACCCCCAATTTTTCCAATTAAAATATAGAGTTAAGACGACTCCCATGCATAAGACTACAGCCTCGTATAAGACGACCCCTGACTTTTGAGAAGATTTTCTTGGGTTAAAAAGTAGTCTTATACACCAGAATATACTGTAAATCCACGCGAGTCCCCTGCAGGGTGAGAAGGGCAGAATATACATACTGTAAATAAATAAATAAAATACAGGGTTAGTCAAAATGAATAGGCCAATAGGAAAATTAATTTTAGACGAATGTATGTTTATTGTAACCAAACTACAGCTACGTAGCGACAGATAAACTATCAAAGTTTTGTCTCACCTTCAGAGATGTTCGATATGGGCGCCCCATGTGACACGGCAGATGTCCAAGCGATAGTCCAGTTCATTCCACATCCGTTGCAGCACATCCGACGTAATGGCATCGAATGCAGCAACGTCTGGAGACACGTGGTCGTCCTGTGGTTTTACCCTTGCATAAGCAGCCCGTCTCCTCAAATTGCTTTACCCACCTCGCAATGGAATGTCGATGAGGTGGTTCCTTGCCATACTTGGCTTGAAATTCTCGCTGGACCGTAATTACTGACATTGTTTTAGCAAATGTCATCACACAAAACGCCTTCTCTTTGCTTGAATCCGCCATTTTGAAAACAGCGACCCCTAGCGACGCCTAGCGGCATTAACGTACATGTGTGTTGCTCAAAAAAAACTTTGATAGTTTATCTGTCGCTACGTAGCTGTGGTTTGGTTACAGTAAACATACATTCGTCTAAAATTAATTTTCTTATTGGCCTATTCATTTTGACTAACCCTGTATTGTGCACTGATTCTTTGCCTTCCTGGTTTTTCATGCAACTCTTGTACCTTCAATCTTATGGACTATTTTATACATTGGGACTTGGATTTCTTTTTACTATTTTTGCTGAACTGCTTTTTTTATATTCTTCAATGAACTGCTTTCCTGATTTACACTGGTCTGGAGTGTGCTGGTTAAGTACAGAGGTGATCCTGCCCTGGAATAAAACACTGAGATATACTTACCCACGGCAGGCTGGGGAGCTCCGAAGCCAAGGGTGGCTGTCGAGGTATTAAATCCAGGCGTGCCGAAGGTGCCGGTCCCCAGCGTGCCCCCGGGCTTTGGCTGGGCGCCCCCAAACAAGGAGGTCTGGCCAGCACTGAGGGCTACGGAAGAAGGGGAGGAGAAACAGGGGTTGGTGGCAGGACCTCCCAAACACCCAGAAGCAACCAATGTGCCCAGGTCTTCTGCGTCTCTAGGGAGGATGGTTGCAAAAAGGCTTTCTCCCCTCTTGCTTTGCCAGAGAAGAAACATCCAGGATATATATATCCTGCATATGCCATCAGCTGGAGACCCCTCCCCTCAACACCAACTGCCACTCTAGGTCAGACTGAAGGGGGGGGGGGCAGGGGACAGTTCCACCTTCTCTCCTGTGGTATTCTAATAATATAATATAATATAATCGATATAAATAAAAATGTAATGTTCGTTTGTGGGATTAACAGAACTCAAAAACCACTGGACGAGTTGATACCAAATTTGGACACAAGACACCTAACAACCCAATGTATGTCCTTCACTAAAAAAAAACTGATTTTGTCATTTGGGAGTTGTAGTTGCTGGGATTTCTAGTTCACCTACAATCAAAGAGCATTCTGAACCCCACCAACGATGGAACTGAACCAAACTTGGCACACAGTTCTCCCATGACCAACAGAAAATACTGGAAGGGTTTGCTGGGCAGTGTCCTTTGGCTTTGGAGTTGTAGTTCACCTCCATCCAGAGATCACTGTGGACACAAACAATGATGGATCTGGACCAAACTCTACAAGAATACTCAATATGCCCAAATGTGAACACTGATGGAGTTTGTGGCAAATAGAATCTTGACATTTGGGAGTTGTAGTTGCTGGGATTTCTAGTTCACCTGCAATCACAGAACATTCTGAACACCACCAACGATAGAATTGGTCCAAACCTCCTACACAGAACCCCCAATGTGGGCCACAGCAAAGTGTGGCAGGGGACTGCTAATATAATATAATATAATATAATATAATATAATATAATATAATATAATATAATATAATATATTGTATATACATTTAGTATTTATGATATTATAATGTAATGCAATATAATACTAATAATATATTGTAATTATACGTTTATATTACATGCAATATTACTAATAATATTACAATATAATTGGTATAGTAAAATATAGCAGTATTTAATGCTGATATTGTACTATGCTAATAGTATAGTGCAGCGTTTCTCAACCTGGGGGTCGGGACCCCTGGGGGGGTCGCAAGGGGGTGTCGCCAAAGACCATCAGAAAACACCGTATTGTTTTCTGTTGGTCATGGGGGTTCTGTGTGGGAAGTTTGGCACAATTCCATTGTTTGTGGGTTTCAGAATGCTCTTTGATTGTAGGTGAACTATAAATCCCAGCAACCACAACTCCCAAATGTCAAGGTCTATTTTCCCCAAACTCTACATTCACATTCAGGCGCATTGAGTATTCATGCCAAGTGTGGTCCAGGTCTATCATGGTTTGAGTCTACTGTGCTCTCTGGATGTAGGTGAACTACAACTCCAGAACTCAAGGTCAATGCCCACCAAACCCTTCCAGTATTTTCGGTTGGTTATGGGAGTTCTGTGTGCCAAGTTTGGTTCAATTCCATAGTTGGTGGAGTTCAGAATGCTCTTTGGTCGTAGGTAAACTATAAATTCCAGCAACTACAACTCCCAAATGACAAATTCAGTCCCCTCCCAACCCAACCGGCATTCAAATTTGGGCATATTGGGTATTTGTGCCAAATTTGGTCCATTTGGTTAAGCAGGGGCTGGATGGCCATCTGTCAGGGGTGATTTGAATGCAATATTCGTGCTTCTTGGCAGGGGGTTGGACTGGATGGCCCATGAGGTCTCTTCCAACTCTTTGATTGAAAATAAATCCTGTATATCTGGTATTACATGACGATTCGGAACAGCAGCAAAATTACAGTATGAAGTAGCAACAAAAATAATGTTATGGTTGGGGGTCACCACAACACGAGGAACTGGATTAAGGGGTCGTGGCATTAGGAAGATTGAGAAACACTGGTATAGCGTATTGTATGTATAGATATAGATACCTTGCAAGCCACTCTGTGACCCCCTCGGGGTGAGAAGGGCGGAATACAAATGTCGTAAATAAATAAATAAATAAATAAATAAGTAAATTGAAAAGGCACATTTCAAAAAACAATGCCCATGAAACCTAGGAATTCCCTCTGCCCCAGGGGGAAGGATCCACTGCAACTTCAGTTACTAACTACAGCAGTGGTTCTCAACCTTCCTAATGCCGCGACCCCTTACTACAGTTCCTCACGTTGTGGTGACCCCCAACCATAACATTTTCCTTGCTACTTCACAACTGTAATTTTGCTACTGTTATGAATTCTAATGGAAATATTTGATATGCAGGATGTATTTTTAAATCCCAAATACCCAATATGCCCAAATTTGAATACTGGTGGGGTTGGGGGGGATTGATTTTGTCATTTGGGAGCTGTAGTTGCTGGGATTTATAGTTCACCTATAATTAAAGAGCATTCTGAACACCACCAATGATGAAATTGAACCAAACTTGGCACACAGAACTCCCATGACCAACAGAAAATACTGGGAGGATCTGGTGGACATTGACCTTGAACTTTTTGGAGTTGTAGTTCGCCTACATCCAGAGAGCACTGTGGACTCAAACAATGATGGATCTGGACCAAACTTGGCACGAATACTCAAAATGCTGACATGTGAACACTGGAGTTGTTTGAGAAAAATAGACCTTAACATTTGGGAGTTGTAGTTGCTGGGATTTATAGTTCACCTACAATGAAATAACATTCTGAACCCCACCAACGATGGAATTGGACCAAACTTCCCACACAGAACCCATGACCAACAGAAAATACTATGTTTTCTGATGGTCTTTGGTGACCCCTCTGACACTCCGTCGTGACCCCCACAGGGGTCCCGATCCCCAGGTTGAGAAACACTGAACTACAGGCATGGGCCAACTTCGAATCTCCAGATGTTTTGAATTTACACTCCCACAATTGTGGAAATGAAGTCCAAAACAGCTGGAGAGCCAAAGTTGGCTCATGGCTACTCCAGAGCCTTTGAAGCAGAGGCTGGATTGGATGGCTATCTCTTGGGGGAACATGGATTGTGTTTATCTGAATGGCAGAAGAGGTCTGGACTCGAGGTCTGGACACCAATTCTATGATTCCAGTACATGGCAATAGGATTTGGGAGATGGGAAAGCTCTGATAAAAATGCCACGGAAAGGATCTTTGGGTGGACAAGGGCAAGTTTGTCCTCTAGCAAAACCAGCAAACCATTGTGGTGGGTGTCCAGTCACTGCCATCTCACTGTGAGATATGCTGAGCTCCAACTGAGACCTTGCTGGTCTACAGGGCAATACCGCCAGAGCTTCCCATTCCTTACCTGTCCCAAATCCCGTTCCGAGGCCCGTTCCCAGGGCACCTGCAGCTGGCTTGTTCCCAAAGAGGGTATTCCCAGTGGTGTTTGCACCAAAACCTACAAATGGAAAACCAAGGGTCATGAGGTTTAATGTTCAGGAGAGCCCTCTGCCCAAGTGCCATCGTATTTGGCCTGCTTCCTTCCATGCATACAAAGTCCTTATGAGGATGATGCAAACAGAAAAAGTTGAAACATTCACACCTAGCTCCAGCAGACAAGAGTCCTTTGTCCCACCCTGGTTATTCCACAGATATATAAACCTTCAATGGCTTCTCTGTCCACAAGCATATGGACAATTTCAACAGAAAGGAGGAAACCATGAAAAGGAACAAAATCTGGCTACCAGTATTAAAAAACTCTAAAATTGTAACAGCAAAACAACAGAGAAGAAACAACCAGGCACATCTAATTACCTCTCAATAAAAGATCCCCCCAGGCACTGCCAGGCCATCAAATGCTAATCAAGGTGGTCAGTTAAAACGTTCACGCCTAGATCCAGCAGACAAGAGTCCTTTGCCCCACCCTGGTCATTCCACAGATATATAAACCTTTTTTCCTGGTTCCAACAGACCTTACAACCTCTGAGGATGCTTGCCATAGATGCAGGCAAAACGTCAGGAGAGAATGCCTCTAGAACATGGCCATATAGCCCGAAAAAACCTACAACAACCCAGTGATTCCGGCCATGAAAGCCTTCGACAATACAGAAAAAGAGCACTAGCTGTCATAATAGCACAGTGCCCCTGCTTCCCAAACAACTGCACCCAGGACCCTCACAAAAGGAAACAGGCTCCACTTCAAAGCTCCACATGAATTGTTCTGGAAAAACAAGTTACTCCTGTCAGAGTGAAAATTTTCGGGGTGCTATGCGCAGCAGATGAGGTTACTAGATCACACAGACACAACTCAGGACACTGCAGATTTCCAGTTTCAAAATAACATAAAGTTTACTAAGCACATCTACACACGTCCATTCTAAGCGGGCAAAATCAGGAACTCCAAAGTACAGCTTCAGTACAGTTTCAGAACATCTGCTTATCAGGCTCTCTGGCTGTAAGCCGGATACTCCCTATTTCTTCCCAGCCAGAGAAACTCGTAATCTAACTTCTGTCAAGGTCTCTTCTCTCTCTACCTCTCTGTCTCTTACAACAACAATTCCAATACACAATTGAAGATAACAGAATCCATCTTGAATACATATGAACACCATTCTTAATCATATAGAAACACATTGAAAAAACATACATGCATACCTTCAATAATCCTGACAACTCCTCTGCTCTTATCAAAACTCAAAGCATCTGTTATGAAGGTGGGAAGACCATCCTCCAATTTTAAGTCTCCCAACCAAAAATGGGTTGCTCTGGAAGCCCAGCTGGCACACAACAAAGAAGCATGAATTCTGTGCAGTTTTCTCCTGGCGTTTGCTTATCCTGACACTCACAGGCTGAAATGTGTGTGGAGGCAAAAAAAAAAAAAAAAAAAAAGGGGGGGGGGTTCCCTTGTGCAAAAGTATGATTTTACCAAAGAAAATGCACATGTATTTCTCAAAAGCTTCTTTGAGCCCTATTTTTGTTTCAACGCCAAGCATACTGACATACAGACTGGTTTTTTGAAATGTGCTGGGATGTGCAAACATAACACAAAGATCCAGATGAAAAATTGACAAAAAATATTCATTTTCTCCCTCAACAGGGAGAAAACAGAAATGACACTCCTTCCATCATTTCACAGGTGAAACCCCACACTCCACAACAACAACAACAACAACAACAACAACAACAACAACAACAACAACCTTTATTTATCCCCCACCACCATCTCCCCAAAGGGGACTTGGAGCGGCAAACATGAGGCCAAGCCCAAAAATAATACAGCAAAGTTAGACACAAAACAACAGACAAATTACATCAAAAACAAAATACATAAAGTAACAAAATAAAAGTTAAATAAACAGTACAAAATAACATAATAAAATCAAACAGGAAGGGCAACAACAACAACAACAAACGTTATTTATACCCTGAACAACAACAAACGTTATTTATACCCAAGAACACAGATCCAGGATCAAAAGAATGAGTTGTGAATCCACATTGTACTTGCACTTTAAAGACAGCTCTCATTCCAGTAATGACCTTAAATATTATGTCTTAGAGAAATTACAAGCTCCTACTCATATGGACAACAGGAAATTACTTCTCCGCAGGGAGACCTTTTGGATCCACAAACTAAAAACATTAACACCTCAAGGTTTGAATGACAAACTAGAATTCAGCTGTTACCTTTAATGATCCCATAGTACTCATTGCCTCTTAATGATCCTCCAATACTTAAGAACCTACTGTAATACGTTAGAGTGCTCGCAACTGATTAAAGAACATCACATGTAAAGATGCTGCATGGACATGTAAGTTATGACCATAATACTAAGATTATTGATTATTATATACATCATTTTGGGGTGTTTTTCTACATGTCTATTTTTAGTATGGTATATATCAGTTCAACTGTACTGCTTAGTATACTAGTAGTTTTCCTTTATATTTTCATATGTATAAAAAGGAATGAGAAGGCAGAGCCAAGCAAGCAGGGAGAATACCTGAGGAAGTATCGAAACTGGCCTGTACCCGGGAAACCAGTTGTACTCGCCCTGGCATTACGGACTACTTGGCCATCCCTGTTATCCAGAAATAACTACCTTGATAAATACTGATAAAAGACTGTGACAACTATTCTGTTACACAGCGGGAAGGAACTCATTCAAGAGCAACTCGACGTTGATATTACTCATCAGAAGAATTTGTACTACTGCCACTTGTGTATAATAATATTGATGTAAAGCGTTACTATTTATTTATTATTTATTTATTTGATACTCTTATATACCGCAATATCTCAGCCTGGAACGGCGACTCAATGCGGTGTACAACAGGTTAAAAACAATCTCCAATTTAAAAACAATATGCATACAATAACAATTTACCAATTATTGGGCCACCAATAATAATCCCATATGTCTCAAGTTAAAACCACAATCAGAATTCGTTGTCCATATTCGTTGTCCATATTTCCTGTCCTTAAGTCACCTGGATTCGATTGCCACTAATTAGCCGAATGCTTGTTTGAACAGCCATGTTTTGAATCTCTTCCTAAATACCATCAGCGAAGAGGCTGATCGTACCTCTGTAGGGAGGGCGTTCCAAAGCCGGGGGGCTACCACAGAGAAGGCCCTATCTCTCGTCCCCACCAGCCGCACTTCTGAAGCTGGAGGGATCGAGAGAAGGGACTCTCCAGAAGATCTTAGGGTCCTGGTGGGCTGATAGGCTGAGATACGTTCGGATAGATAAGTTGGGCCAGAACCGTTTAGGGCTTTGAAGGCCAACGCCAGCACTTTGAATTGAGCCCGGTAGCATATCGGCAGCCAGTGGAGCTGGTTCAGCAGAGGAGTTGTGTGCTCCCTGCGCCCCGCTCCTGTTAGTATCATGGCTGCCGCCCGTTGGACTAATTGGAGCTTCCGGACTGTCTTCAAAGGCAGCCCCACGTAGAGAGCGTTGCAGTAATCAAGACGGGATGTAACCAGAATGTATATCTTGATGTTAAGAGTATGGTAGTAACTTGATTTAGAGCTTGATGTTAAGAGAGTGTTAGTAACTTGATTTAAAGCTTCTGGAACACTTGAGAATATAATCAAGTCTGTAGTAAAACTGTGTTTTGGTGTTTCAAATTCCTTTTCTGTCAATACTGTTATTTCTACAGAAGTGGATAGTCCAGTACATATACTATATACCTACTTTTCTCTTCTTGGTTATTTATACCCTGCCACCAGCTCCCCAAAGGGGACTTGGGGTGGCTAACATGAGGCCAAGCCCAAAAATAATACAGCAAAATTTGACACAAAACAACAGGAAAATTACATCAAAAACAAAATACAAAAAGTAACAAAATAAACAGTACAAAATAACATAATAAAATCAAGCAGATAGGGTGGGCCAAACGCACAAGATAAAATGTAGAACGTTAAAACCCTAGGTGAGATAGGAAAAAAAAGTATATGTGTGAGGGAAGAGTCCAAGAAGGGGGAGCAGCGGGGTTTGGCTTTATTAAGGACAGGAGGGGACAGTCCTTGTTCCAGAACTTCAAGCAGGCACTGAGCATGGAATCTCCTCCACAAGAAACACCCCCCAACTCCGCTGGGAGTCTCCCCAGTTCCTCCTGGATCACAGCTTAGCTGGCAATACTGACTCCTAGGGACCTTCATTCCAAGGGACACTCTGGGATGCTGAACACAACAGCGAATGAGATGCACACACCTTTCTGCAAAGGTGCCCAAGAGAACGTGTCTGCTTCATCTCTTACCAAAAATTCCAGTTGTGGTTCCAAAAGAAGGCGCGCTGGTGGTGGTGGTTCCAAAGCCGGTAGGCTTGTTGCTGAACAGGGACTGAAAGTTTAAAACACATGGAAATGTTGAGGCTTCACAGAATCATAAACACAGAGTCAATACATGGCAAGTGGAATTCTGCTTCTCTAAAGGTTTGTCTAAAGACAGCAAAGCCTAGAGAAGACAATGATGCTGGGGAAGGTAGAAGGTAAAAGGAAGAGGGGCCGACCAAGGGCAAGATGGATGGATGGCATCCTTGAAGGGACTGGACTGACCTTGAAGGAGCTGGGGGTGGTGACGGTCGACAGGGAGCTCTGGTGTGGGCTGGTCCATGAGGTCACAAAGAGTCGGAGACGACTGAACGAATGAACAACAACAACAACAACAAAGGTTTTTAAGCAAAGATTAGATGGCTAGCTGTCAGGAAGCCTTGGATGGTGTCTTCCCTGATGGCAGTTGGATTGGATGACCCTTGGTGCCTCTTCCAACTAGGATTCTGTGGTGCTTTCCATTTATTAGTTGTGAAGGAGCATCTAGAAAGCACATCGTCCAGCATGCTCTGCCCCATGGCTGCCCCAGAATCATAGAATCAAAGAGTTGGAAGAGACCTCCTGGGCCATCCAGTCCAACCCCATTCTGTCAAGAAGCAGAAATATTGCATTTAAATCACCCCTGACAGATGGCCATCCAACCTCTGCTTAAAAGCCTCCAAAGAAGGGGCCGCCACCACACTCCGGGGCAGAGAGTTCCACTGCTGAACAGCTCTCACAGTCAGGAAGTTCTTCCTCATGTTCAGGTGGAATCTCCTTTCTTTCCTGTAGTTTGAAGCCATTGTTCCATTGCGTCCTAGTCTCCAGGGAAGCAGAAAACAAGCTTGCTCCCTCTATGACTTCCTATGACTTCCCCTCATATATATGTACATGGTCCTCATCATTCCTCTCAGCTTTCTCTTCCTCAGGCTAAACATGCCCAGCTCCTTAAGCCGCTCCTCATAGGGCTTGTTCTCCAGACCCTTGATGATTTGAGATGCCCTCCTCTGGACACATTCCAGCTTGTCAATATCTCTCTTGAATTGTGGTGCCCAGAATTGGACACAATATTCCAGGTGTGGTCTAAACAAAACAGAATAGAGCATGGGGAGCATGACTTCCCTAGATGTAGACACTATGCTCCTATTAATGCAGGCCAAAATCCTATTGGCTTTTTTTGCCGCCACATCACATTCCTGGCTCATGTTTAACTTGTTGTCCACAAAGACTCCAAGATCTTTTTCACACAAGGGGACCAGCTGCTGCTCTATCTCCTTTAATGCACACCTATTTGAAAGGGTGATGCTGCTGCAACAGGCCTCTCCTCAGCCTCAGGAAAGAGGAGAGAGACCATCTGGTGCAGTGGTTCTCAACCTGGGGTCCCCAGATGTTTTTGGCCTACAACTCCCAGAAATCCCAGCCAGTTTACCAGCTGTTAGGATTTCTGGGAGTTGAAGGCCAAAAACATCTGGGGACCCCAGGTTGAGAACCACTGATCTGGTGAGTGACTCCAAGGCAGAACTACACTTCCCAAGATTCCATAGTACTGAGCCATGTCAGTTACAGTGGTGTCAAACTACACTCATTCTACAGTGCATGTGGCTTGGCTGGAGCTGAAATCCTTGTCACTAAAAAAAGACTGCATTTCTGGAAAGCCAAACGCTCTCCACATCTTCCCCCAGCGAGACCTTGCTGCTTTTTGACGACCTACCGAGCCGCCAACTCCAAATCCGGTGCTGGCCGTTCCAAAGAGCCCCGTGGCTTGTCCGAAGGCGGTGGCCGTGTTCGTGTTGGCGGCCGTTCCAAAGAGGCCTGGGGTCTGCGAGGGCTGCGTGGCTCCAAACAGGCCCTGCAGACACAAAAAGAGCTTTTAAGAAAAAGCAAGGCTAGAGCAGCATTTCTTGTCTGTTCTGCAGACCAGGGACTACTCCTTCAGATCAGGAAAAGCGACATTAAACATAACCAGGGATTGATTCAGCCAAGTTTTGGCCATGCCGAACATCAAATTTCAACCCAGTGCAATCCCATGCAGAAGACTGGCAATGATTTTCGTTTCGCTTAATGCGCCAGACATGGGATCTACATGCATGCCCATTGCCGACGACTGTTTCATTCCCTCCTGAATACAGGTCAGGGCCCAGAAGCCCTGGAACCATTCAGGGGCCACCAAACTGCTCAAATTTGCAGAATTTGATAAACTAACTTGTCTTCTATATAAATAAAAATGTAATGTTAGTTTGTGGGATCAACGTAACTCAAAAACAACTGGACAAATTTATTTATTTAATATTTGCTTCATTTGTATACCGCTATTCTCAGCCCTAAGGCGACTCATAGCGGTTAACAACAATCAAGCAAAGCAACACAAGGCAAAACAATCAAAGCAAAACTTCAATGCGGCATCAACAAGGTATTTAAAAACAATTAACACAGAAGCAGACTAAACAATTAAACAGTAGCAAACATTCAAGTAGCGTCTCATAACTAGAATTATGATCCAAACTCGTCAATTGTAGTTCCATTTCCTGAATTCACTGCACTGCCTATTCAAACGCCTGTTCAAATAACCAGGTTTTCACTTTTCTCCGGAATACCATCAATGAGGGAACCAATCTAATGTCCGTGGGAAGGGCGTTCCACAGCCGAGGGGCCACCACCAAAACTTGGACACAAGACACCTCTCAGCCAACAAGTGACCATCACTCATAAAAACACTAAAAAATACAGCAGAAGCTTAAAAAGTCAAAAAACAAAAAATACATTACAACACATGCGCAAAACCACATATATATTTGCAAACACACTTATACACAAATATATGCACACACATATACATACACAAAACACATATACACAGACTGGGCCACAGCATGGAAGGGGACGGCTAGTCTTAGAAATAAAAAAATACAATGTTTTCAAAATAACTGGAAGCTTTTTGTAGAATATATAGGTAGAACATTTAAAGACTGAGCCATAATAGTGCTGAGTGATTAAAAATACGTTATCAGAAAAAAGAGCAAGATTCGGATAAAATGTCATACAAAGAGGTCACCTTTTAATACTCTATGTAAAATGTACATGTATAAAACATATACACTGCTTGATCAGACAAATTATTGCAAGACTCGATCTCAGTGTAGGGTCGGGATGTTTTCTTTCAAATAAGATACATACGTTTTATTGGAAAGTTGGTTTTTTTTTTTTCCTTTTTTTTTGTCGTGTCAGGAGTGACTTGAGAAACTGCAAGTCGCTTCTGGTGTGAGAGAATTGGCCATCTGTAAGGACGTTGCCCAGGGGACAATGCCCGGATGTTTTGATGTTTTTATCATCCTTGTGTGAGGCTTCTCTCATGTTCCCACATGAGGAGCTGGAGCTGACAGAGGGAGCTCATCCGCCTCTCCCTGGATTCGAACCTGTGACCTGTCGGTCTTCAGTCCTGCCGGCACAGGGCTTTAACCCACTGCACCACCGGGGACTCCATTATTGGAAAGTGTAAAATTACTATTGTTTATGTACTGCGGTAATGTTAAAATGTGTATAATATGAAAATAATAATAATAATAATAATAATAATAATAAATAAAATTCATGTTAAAAGAAGAATGGGTACGAGTTGGACTGGATGAGGAACTATTATAAGAGGTTTGAGCCTGTGTATGCTGGGCAATATCTCAGGCCAGGGCTGCCCACTCACGACCCTTTTCCACCTGAGAAATGTTGACATGGCCCTGAGTATATACCATATATGCTCAAGTATATGCCTTTTTTAGGCTGAAAAAGCCTCTCTTAGCTTATACTCAAGTCAAGGTTATTTATTATTTTACTCTGTTATTATTACTATTATTATTATTATTATTATTATTATTATCATCAACCAGCACGTCAACGACTTAAATCTAGAAATAGTTTTCTAAGATCTACAGAGACACTCGCTGGAACACCTCAGCAAGCGAGAGTCCAAAAGTGGCAGGCTCAAACCCAGAACCTCAACCGATGGCTGATACCCAATGAGAGACTGCCCGCTGGGCACACTGAAGATGGGGCAACTTGGAAGGCACTGAACAGACTGCGCTCTGGCACCACAAGATGCACAGACAACCTTAGGAAATGGGGCCACAAAGTGGAATCCATGACATGCGAGTGTGGAGAGGAGCAAACTACAGACCACCTGCTGCAATGCAACCTGAGCTCTGCCACATGCACAATGGAGGACCTTCTTGCAGCAACACCAGAAGCACTCCAAGTGGTCAGCTACTGGTCAAAGGACTTAATCAACTACCAAACTCACAAATTTTGTATTTTGTCTGTTTGCTTTGTTCTGTTAGAAATGTAGTATAATTGACTGACTGCCCTGACACGACAAATAAATAATAATAATAATATTATTATTATTATTATGACTGCATAGAGCGCCGTTACAGATCATATACAAGCATATAATCTAGAATACATGTGTACACACAACAGAAGGAAGAAAGGAATACAAGATTTGCATAATTAAACAAGCTATGCAGCTAAAACCCCAAAATGCAATATAATACAAAACAGACAAAGAATTTCAGTTCCTTGCCATTCTTTCAAAGCAAACCAAGAGACCTGCCTGGCACATTGGACTACCACTCCCACCTGCCATCATTAGCATTATTGGAGGAGAAATCAATGCCACAGCTGTGTTAGTATAGAATATCAACCTGCAAAGGGATCTTGTAGCACCTTGAGCTCAAGAGAGAAAGAAGTCAATAGCATAGCTTTGCTAGACAGAGATCTGCTTCAGATGCATCAATCCTTTCAGTGTTGCTACAACAGGCATGGACAAACTTTGGCCCTCCTCCAGTCTGTTAGGAATTGAAGTCCAAAACACCTGGAGGGAGGGTGGAAGTTTGCCCATCCCTTTGCATCACTGGAATAAATGGACCACCAAGTGCCTAACTCAGAAGGAGGCAGCCTCCCATCTCTTGAGGAGCAAAGAGGCAACTTGGTCCGCCAGCAACAACACTGAGACTGCTGCTCTCAGCATCCCCTCCGTTGATGGGGCAGACAGGGGACTGCTGGGGATTGCAGTCCCACTGCATCTAGAGAGGCCCCAACATTGCTGCCTCCACCTTTTAAGTTATTAGAGTGCTTATCTCCTTACCATTGTGTTTGTGTTGGGCTGCCCCAGGGTGCTGGTGTTGCCAAAGGAAAAGCCAGTGTTTGCGGTCGTGATCTGTCCAAAGGGCTTGTTGAAGAGGCTGGTGGTCTGCTGCTGGGGCTGGCCAAAGAGGCTGGTGGTCCCGGCCCCAAAACCGGTTGTACCTGCGAGAGAGGGGAGCAGTGCCATCACAGGTCTTTCAATGACGCAGAGAGCATGTGGGGGTCACAGGTAACATTCACTGTAGCAGGCAGCCAGGACCTCAAGGTTTGGATCGTCCTGAAGATTTATTTTATTTATTTATTTACGGCATTTATATGCTGCCCTTCTCACCCCGAAGGAGACTCAGAGCGGCTCACAAATTATACATAATAATAATAATAATAATAATAATAATAATAATAGTAATAATAACAATACACCAGACATAATAATAATAATAATAATAATAATAATAATAATAATAATTGCAAGAAGATTGCGCAGACAGACTACAAGCAGAGGCACAACACCGTTGCTCAGATGATTCATTGGAACTTGTGCCACAAATCCCATCTGCCTGCGACAAAGAACTGGTGGGATCACAAACTGGAAAAAGTTACAGAAAATGAACAGGCCAAACTCCTCTTGGACTTCCAAATTCAGACTGACAGAGTTCTGGAGCACAAGACTCCTGACCTCACAATCATGTTAAAAAACGAAGTATGGATTGTCAATGTTGCAATCCCAGGTGACAGCAAATTGAAGAGAAACAACTGGAAAAGCTGACACGATAGGAGGATTTAAAAATCAAGCTGCAAAGACTGTGGCACAAACCAGTCAAGGGGGTCTCAGTGGTGATAGGCACACTGGGTGCAGTGCCTAAAGACTTTGGCCTGCACTTAAACACAATCGGCGCTGACAAGATTACCATCTTCCAGCTGCAGAAGGCCACCTTACTGGGATCTGTACGCATTATTCGCGGATACATCACACAGTCCTAGACTCTTGGGAAGTGTCCGACGTGTGATCCAATTCAACAGCCAGCAGAGTGTCTGCTGTGGACTCATCTTGTGTTTCTAATAATAATAATAATAATAATAATAATAATAATAATAATAATAGCAGTAAAGAATTGGTGGGATCATAAACTTGCAAAGGTCGTGGAAAATGAACATGCAAAAATCCTGTGGGACTTTCGAATCCAGACTGACAAAGTGTTGGAACACAATACACCAGATATCACGATTGTGGAAAAGAAAAAAGTCTGGATTATTGATGTCGCCATTCCAGGTGAGAGTCGCATTGAGGAAAAACAACAGGAAAAACTCAGCTGTTATCAGGACCTCAAAATCGAACGGCAAATGTTCTAGCATCAACCAGTCCAGGTGGTCCCAGTGGTCAATAGCGCACTGGTTGCCATGCCAAAAGATCTCAGCTGGCATTTGGAAACAATAAACATCGACAGAATCACGATCTGTCAACTGCAAAAGGCCACATGACTTGGATCTGCGCGCATCATTCAAAAATACATCACACAGTCATTGACGCTTGGGAAGTGTTCGACTTGTGATTTTGTGATACGAAACCCAGCATAGAGATCTCGTTTGCTGTGACATACTGTGCTTTTGCATCAATAATAATAACAACAACAACAACAATATGCCTGCCTGGCAGATGCCCCCACAGTTCCGTACTTACTGGCCCCGAAGCCGGTCTTATTCTGTCCGTACGAAAAGCCTGTGTTGGTGGTGGAGGAGCCAAAGAGCCCTGTAGCTGCGCTGGACGTCGCAGTGGATGAGCCAAACAGCCCCGGTGCGGCGACAGCCCCCACAGGGTTAGAGGGGCCCTTCCTGTTTGCTTGGTAGTCCTCCAGGCGAAGCTCCTGCGGAAGAAATACAAATTGAGCAAAGTCATGTCACACAGGACACCGCTGGGACCTCACCTCAATCCATCCCCAAATGCAAACAGACCACCTTAGCAGCAATTATGGAAGAGCATAATTGCTCTGTCCTGATACATTACATTGCCCTATCTCCAAGTGTTTATATATTTTTTAATCTTTGCAATTGGCCCTGCCCTCTGTGATTATTCTCAGTGTTTAATGTTCTGATTTTATATTGTTGCACTGTTTATTTATAGTGGTTTTGTATCTTATGTTATTTAATTTTCTTATTTTTTGTTGTGATCTTGTGTTATATTCCCTGAATAAAGGAACAATCCCCTGCAAAATACCCTGAAAAGCACTTTAATTACCCATTGGGTTGCTCTCTACTCTTGGTTTAAAACCCTCCTACTAGGTACATCCTTTGTTAATGTCCAGCATTTACTTTTAAAGTTTTAACTATTACATCTGGCACAGCCATAGGTTTTAAAATTCTTCTGTGTTAACTGTCCATGTCTGAGTTATACTAATTGTATTGTTTATTTTGCTTATTGCTTGTTGTTTTTATTATTGTTTGTTATTTTATCGATGTGTTGTTGGGCTTGGCCTCATGTAAGCCCCTCCGAGTCCCTTGGGGAAATGGTGGCGGGGTATAAATAAAGTTTTATTATTATTATTATTATTATTGTTGTTGTTGTTGTTGTTGTTTTACTGTATTGATAGGCGTGGCCTCATGTAAGCCACCCCAAGTCCCCTTTGAGAGATGGTGGCGGGGTATAAATAAATTATATTATTATTATTATTATTATTATTATTATTATTATTATTATTATTATAGCAGTCACAGGGATTAGAAGCTCCCTTTCAGAGAGCTGGCCACATATTCAAGGGTCGCCTCTGCAGAAGCAGGTTCTGGGAACTTCAGCACCGCATAATTTCTAACCAAATGAGTGACCCACAGGAAAATCCCCCCTTTTCCTCTCCCCTGTGTCTCCTTTCCTTTCGTTCCTTTTGAAATGCAATGCCAACACTACCATTTGCGTCCATGTGCTGCCAAAGCACCACCACTGCTATAATAATATAGGGGACTGGAACTGATGCAAAACCGAGGAGCAAAGTCATGTTTTCTGCTGCTCCAGAGACTAAGTCCCCTCCCCTACACTGACAATATAATCCAGATTGTAAAATGAGATAATCCACATGATCTGCTTTGACCTGGAATATATGAGTCTACAGTGCCACATAATCAGGTTCAAAGCAGATAATCTGGAATTTATATGGCAGTGTAGAAGGGGCCTGAGACACAATGGAGCCATGGATTCAAATGGCAGGGAAAGAGATTCCACCTAAACATTAGGAAGACACTGAAGGAGAACCCCCCCCCCCCCCCCCCCCCCCACATAGTAAACAGGCAACTAGGTGAACCTCTAGTTTCTGAATATGTCCAGGAGAAAACCAGAACTTCCCCAAGATTGTGGTGCTCATGTACATAAATGGTAAATACTGATAGAAACGAGGACCCGTCCTTGCCCTCTAAAAGTGTTGTGACTTTTGGATGCTGTCAACTGTGTCATGGAGGCGTGGCTTTTCCCCCTCCACTTACTAAATTTCTGTTTTGAGGGAGGCATTTTGAAGGTAGCAAAGGGTACCCCGAGATGGTGGCCAAGGTTTTTCAATGTCATATATGCAGATGGAATTTTAGAAAATTCCACCTGCCGGCCAGCCTTCCCCTTGCTCCTGCCCGCCCCGGAGACCCTTCCTCGCCATGGCTTCCTCATCAGCAGGGACCCTGAGGGCTGCTTCCTGGCCAACATCCGTCACCACCACTGTGTGCCTAAGGACCTCATGACGCCCCCTTGCTGCTCCTGGGTTGCCCTGGACCTCACCCACAAGTCCTGTCTGTCCTTCCCACCACTTCAGAAATATTATATTATCCTACAGACCACCAAATGTGAAAATCAATAGTAAATTTATAATGAATTTTGTTCATTTTCATGGTTTCCTCCTTTCTGTTGAAATTGTCCACATGCTTGTGGATTTCAATGGCTTCTCTATCTAAGCATGTGGACAATTTCAACAGAAAGGAGGAAACCATGAAAATGAACAAAATCTGGCTACCGGTATTTAAAAAAACTCTAAAATTACAACAGCAAAACAACAGAGAGGAAACAATCAGGGACCTCTAATCACCTCTCAACAAAAGATTGCCCCAGGCACTGCCAGGCCATCAAATGCTAATCAAGGTGGTCAGTTGAAACATTCACACCTAGCTCCAGCAGACAAGAGTTCTTTGTCCCACCCTGGTCATTATTCCACAGATATATAAACCCATTTTCCTAGTTCCAAGTGACCTCACTACCTCTGAGGATGCTTGCCATAGATGCAGGCGAAACGTCAGGAGAGAATGTCTCTAGAACAGGGGTCCTCAAACTTTTTAAACAGAGGGCCAGGTCACAGTCCCTCAAATTGTTGGAGGGCCAGATTATAATTTGGGAAAAAACCATGAATGAATTCCTATGCATACTGCACATATCTTATTTGTAGTGCAGAAAAACTTAAAAACAATACAATAATTAAAATGAAGAACAATTTTAACAAATATAAACTTAGTATTTCAATGGGAAGTGTGGACCTGCTTTTGGCTGATGAGATAGAATTGTTGTTGTGTGCTTTCAAGTCGTTTCAGACTTAGGTTGACCCTGAGCGAGGGCTGGGTAAATGACCTTGGAGGGCCGTATCCGGCCCCCGGGCCTTAGTTTGAGAACCCCTGCTCTAGAACATGGCCATATAGCCTGAAAAAACCTACAACAACCCAGTGATTCCAGTCATGAAAGCCTTCAACAGTAAATTTATAATATTATAATGAAATATATTATAATATTATAATTATATATTTTATATTATATGTAATATTACTAATAACATTACCATATAATGGTGTAGTACAATATAGTAATATATAATACTGATATTGTACTATACTAATAATTTAATATATTGTATGCATATATATCTTGAAAGCCGCTCTGAGTCCCCTTCAGGGCGAGAAGGGCAGCATATAAACGTTGTAAATAAATAAATAAGGACATCCTGACGATCACAGCTGTTCAACAGTGGAATTTGCTTATTCCTGTTTATTTCAGATGGATTTAGCACCTTCTGAAACCAAATTCCACATACTGATAAAGGCAGAAACACAGGTATACACACAAAAACAAGACACTGGACAGACGGACCTCTAACGATTTGCTTTCGTACTCCTTCATTGCAGTGATACACTGGTGCTTGGTGCTGATGTTGGTGCTGACTCCAGACTTCACCATGGTGTCCGTCCCAGTCGGCGGCTGTAAGAAGGCAAAAGGGAAACATATTGGACTCACGCGTCCAGAAGTGCAGGCAGTTATCACACAGAAATGCAACAGCGCTCCCTTCAGAGGTCAGAAGACCGTTAAAAGGCCTTGTGTGATGCACAAAATCCAGGTGCAGATTCCTGCTCAGTCACAGGCCTCCTAGGTGGTTGATTTCTTGCCCAGGCAGGGAACAAGGCCACAAGCACTTAGGGAAAGGATCTCAAGATAGCTTTGTCTGTGTTGATACGGAGGGGGAAAGAACATCCTGCTACTCAGCCACCTTCCCTCCTGGCCCGAGTTTGTTGCCATGCCTTCTGCTATACTATCAACAACCCCACCCCGGCTATTCATGACTCATCTTTCTGCAGCCTGGCTCTCTGGTTCTCCTCCTTTCGTTCCTCTTGAAAGGAAAACCCCTTTCTGCCTTTTGCTTGAACTGACAAGTCCCAGACCAAGAGCTAAGCATGAGAATGCTGGGATGCTTCCTGCAAAGGAGGGACTCACGTTGAATTTAATGGTAGTCCCAGTCGGAACCGCAGTAAAGCTTGTTGAGCCAAAGAGAGAGCCAGACGTTCCTCCGAAGGGGTTGGAGGTGGTGTTTGTGGTTCCAAACAAGCCTCCGCTGCTGGTGCTCGTCCCAAAGTCTGCAAAAAGGGGAAAGGAATGAGTCACTTTTTTGCATATCAAAAGTATTGCATAAATTAATATAAAACTGATAGAAATAGAAGGAGCACAAGCAGCTAAGTATCTTTTGACCCAAAGCGGGCAACAGCGACTATATTTGTATTGGCCAGAATCACTGGGTTGCTGTAGGTTTTTCCGGGCTATATGGCCATGTTAGGACATTAAGATTGTCTGGGGAGGCCCTGCTCTCAGTCCCGCCGGCTTCACAAGTACGCCTGGCGGGGATGAGAGACAGGGCCTTCTCAGTGGTGGCCCCTCGGCTGTGGAACGCCCTTCCTACAGATATCGGATCGGCCCCCTCCCTATTGGCATTCCAGAGGAGAGGGAAGACCTGGATGTCTGAACAGGCATTCAATCAAGAAGTAATTGAGTGTAATTGACTATTGGAACACGGAATAATGAAATTGGATTCTGATTTTATTGATGAGATGTGATGGATTTGTTATATTGATGTATTGGTGTCTAATTAATTGCTATGCTACTGTTTTTAAATGTCCAATGACTTCCTATTGTGTATACTGAATTATTGTTGTTAACCGCTCTGAGTTGCCTTAGGGCTGAGAAGAGCGGTATACAAATAAAGTAAATTAATAAAATAAATAAATTGTTCTAGAGGCATTTTCTCCTGACGTTTCGCCTGCATCTATGGCAAGCATCCTCAGAGGTAGTGAAGTCTGTTGGAACTAAGAAAAAGGGTTTATATATCTGTGGAATGACCAGGGTGGGACAAAGGACTCTTGTCTGCTGCAGCTAGGTGTGAATGTTTCAATTGACCACACAGAAATGCTGGACCACTCTCACAACCACTATGTCACACTACACAGAGAAGCCATTGAAACCCACAAGAAGCATGTGGACAACTTCAACAGAAAGGAGGAAACAGTGAAAATGAACAAAATCTGGTTACCAGTATTAAAAAAAACTCAAAAATTACAACAGCAAAACAACAGAGAGGAAGCAGGCAGGGACATCTAATCACCTCTCAACAAAAGATTCCCCCCAGGCACTTCCAAGCCATTAAATGCTAATCAAGGTGGTCAGTGGAAACATTCACTCCTAGCTCCAGCAGATAAGAGTTCTTTGTCCCACCCTGGTCATTCCACAGATATATAAACCCATTTTCCTACTTCCAACAGACCTCACTACCTCTGAGGATGCTTGCCATAGATGCAGGCGAAACGTCAGGAGAGAATGCCTCTAGACCATGGCCATATAGCCCGGAAAAACCTACAACAACCCAGCGACTATATTGGTTTGTAGGCTCCAACGATTCTTACTCGCCCCAGGGCTGAGAGTGGCGGTCTATAAGTGCAAGAAATAAATAATAAATAAATAAATATAAATTACTCGTAAATGAATCTCATGTTTAGACTTGGGTCTCATCTACAAGACATTTCATTGTGTATATGCTATATTTTTTTAATGCTAAATATGGAACTGTTCTGGGAGAAGGGATATTTAACCTGTAAGACTTATCCATAGAGTATTCTTCTAAAATTCTAAGTCCCATCTTGCTCCTACACAATTTGTAGTCTTCCTGATAAGAAGCACCTCATGAGCAGGATTATCATAACTGCGGGTATTTTCTGTATCGAGAGCGAGTTCGATAGCTCACTCACAAGAAGAGAAAAAAAGGTGCCCCACCTGAGCACAACTATGGCTCCTGCAATCGCACTGTGCAGAGGGCAATCAGAAACAACTAGGAGAGGAGGGAAACTCACTGCCAAAGCCCACCGGCTTGCTCTGTGCAAAGGCATTGTTCTGGGATGAGAAGAGGCCTCCCCCGGTGCTCGCCGTTCCAAACAAGCCGGTGGAGGTTCCAGTGGACGTGCCAAAGCCAAAGCCGGTGCTGGTGGAAGAGGTGGCCGGCTGGCTAAAGGTGCTTGACCCAAACAGCCCTCCTGAAACCAGAAACAGGATCCAATCAGACCAGGCTGGGACAAGAGGGTAGTCAAGGCAGGCATTGAGGGAGCGAAAAGCAACAGGGATACTCTACCAGGTTTGGTCTGTGCGCTCCCAAAGAGCCCTCCAGTGTTATTGTTGGATCCGAACGCAGACGTCCCAAACGCTCCTCCACTCGTGGTGCCGAAGCCAGCATCTGCAAAACACAAACAGGACTTGAGAAGCGTGGTCTGGAGCTCAGAAAGGGTCTGGAACTTCTGGGTAAGCGCCTAACCTTGCAGGCAGGAGCTGTCATGGCTGACCTACAGGAAGTAAGGCTATTTCAAAGGGAACGCATCCTGGAACGACTAAAATGATAAAAGGTCTGGAGAACAAGCCCTATGAGGAGCGGCTTAAGGAGCTGGGCATGTTTAGCCTGAAGAAGAGAAGGATGAGAGGGGATATGATAGCCAAGTATAAATATGTGAGAGGAAGCCACAGGGAGGAGGAGGGAGCAAGCTTGTTTTCTGCTTCCCTGGAGACTAGGAAGCAATGGGACAATGGCTTCAAACTACAAGAGAGGAGATTCCATCTGAACATGAGGAAGAGCTTCCTGACTGTGAGAGCCGTGCAGCAGTGGAACTCTCTGCCCTAGTGTGTGGGGGAGGCTCCTTCTTTGGAAGCTTTTAAACAGAGGCTGGATGGCCATCTGTCAGGGGTGATTTGAATGCAATATTCCTGCTTCTTGGCCAAATGGGGTTGGATTGGATGGCCCATGAGCTCTCTTCCAACAGCTGCATCCATTCACAGCCACTCAAAACCAGAAATCAGATGAACAGAATATTGTGTTTCCATTATTCCAGAGACCCGAGGGACGTTAATATATGTAAAGGAGAGGCCCTGCTCTCAATCCCACCACCTTCGCAAGCACGTTTGGTGGGAACGAGAGACAGGACTTTCTCTGTGGTAGCCCCTCGGCTATGGAACTCTCTCCCGAGCGAGATTAGATCTGCCCCCTCCCTCTTGTCCTTCAGGAGGCTAGTGAAATCCTGGTTATGGAACAAAGCATTCCCAAAATAATGGCTGAGACTGGTTACAGACCAAAGTGAGCGACCACACATGCGGACTGAGATGCTGATATTCTCCCAAAATTCCTAATAAGATCAAAGGTCTCAAAAGACCGGGTGCCCTTGGACCAGAAGGAAAAAAAAAAATAAACAAGCAGGACTTCCTGTATTTTTATTCAATGCCACTTACTCTGTCCAAAGGTTGATGCCCCAAAGCCCCCTGTGTTGCCTCCGAAAGGCGTTCCGAACGATTTGTTAAACATTTTGAAGCTGTTTCAGGTTCTCAAAGCCTAAACAAAATAGAAAGACAAAAAAAAACAAGACTGCATTAGACAAACCCAGTCCTAGGAAATCCATGTTTGGCATAATTTAGAAAAATATCAAACAAATGCAGACATTTCAGGGATAAAAAATAAACGCATACCAATCTTTTTCCACATAAAACTAGAAAACCTTTGGAGACAAAAAGAGAAGGACCCTATGAACAGTCCTGGATCCCTCACTGGGTTCTGTTATAACCTGGTCAAGGCATTGCTTTGTGCTAGCTGCACTTCTATCAGATTTGAAGGGAATAATACCTTGGTGTTCCTTGGGGCTTCTCTTTCACAGGTTAATTAAGGTCTCTCGTGTTAGGAGGATTAATCAGAACATATGCTCCGAGGGAGAGTCAACATGAAGATCTCGTGTTCATCAGATTCAAAACCATGCTTATAAATCCCTTTTCTGGGATTATGAAATCCAAAATTCCCCAAAATCCAAACTTTGCCTCATGTGTGGCTAAGACAGTGACACTTCCGCTTTCTAAATGTTCATGCTTCAGGCACAAAATTATACAAAAAAACAAATTACATCGGAAAATAAATTAAAATAACAAAATGAAATACTAAAGCAAATTCACACAATATAAGATTGAACAGGATGGGCAGGCCAAATGGATAAGATAAAATGATAAAACCTTGGGTGAGGTAGGAATAGAAAATATGTAATTGATGTGAGCCCAAGAAAATAAACAGTGGGGTCATTAATAAAGATTTTGAACAGAAATGGGCCCAGGACTGAACCTTGCGGCACTCCACTAGTCAGCAAAATGTCACTAGTTACATTTTGCTGCCTAAGTTGGGGCAGAAAAGGATGGGCCTTCAGTCACCCAAGTCAACGTGTAGTACCCAAAGCCAGCCAAGTTGTCTTGATGCATGAGGCAGAAAATGCCACAACATATTTATTTATTTATTTATTTTTATTTATTTATTTGGTACACTTGTATACCGCTAATTTCTCAGCCTGGATCGGCGACTCAACTGCGGTTTACAGCAATTAAAAACAATCTCCAATTTAAAACATATACACATACAATAACAAATTATTGGGCCACCAATAATAATCCCATATATCTCGAGTTGAAATCACAATCCAGAATTCGTTGTCCATGTTTCCTGTCCTTAGTCATCAATATTCGAATTGCCACAGATTAGCCGAATGCTTGTTTGAACAGCCATGTTTTGAGTCTCTTCCTAAACACCATCAGCGAAGAGGCTGATCGTACCTCTATAGGGAGGGTGTTCCAAAGCCGGGGGGCCACCACAGAGAAGGCCCTATCTCTCGTTCCCGCCAGCCGCACTTCTGAAGCTGGAGGGATAGAGAGAAGGGACTCTCCGGAAGATCTTAGGGTCCTGGTGGGCTGATAGGCTGAGATACGTTCGGATAGATAAGTTGGGCCAGAACCGTTTAGGGCTTTAAAGGCCAACGCCAGCACTTTGAATTGAGCCCGGTAGCATATCGGCAGCCAGTGGAGCTGGTTCAGCAAGGGAGTTGTATGCTCCCTGCGCCCCGCTCCTGTTAGAATCATGGCTGCCGCCCGTTGGACTAACTGGAGCTTCCGGACTGTCTTCAAAGGCAACCCCACGTAGAGAGCGTTGCAGTAATCAAGGCGGGATTATTATTATATTAACATATCTTCCCCTTCTTATCAGTAGGAAATGAATAACTTGTTCTATTTATGTCTGGCATTGAATGTTTGCCGCTTATATGCTGTGCTCCACCCTGAGTCCCCTTTGGGGTGAGAAGGGTGGAATATAAATGTTTTAAAATAAATAATAAATAAATAAAATACAAAATGCTTAATAATAATATCATCTGGCTACGTGAATAAGGTGTATATGAAACAAATTTTGTTTTGAGACTTGGGTCCCATCTCCACGATATGTGTGCATATGCAAATACAGGTATTCCAAAATCCTAAGCACTTCTGGTCTCAAGCATTTTGGGCTACTTTGACCCATACCCAAGAGTGGACTGGATGAAGGTGAACACAAATGACTCAGTCCAGATAAAGAAAAGTGGAATGGCAGTCAAACTGTTCTAGGTGGATCATAAAATCATAGACTGGGAAGAAACTGCATATTTTACTTTGTATTTCATGTTTTAAATAATAATAATAATAATAATAAAACTTTATACCCCGCCACCATCTCCCCAAGGGGACTCGTAAGGCCAAGCCCGAACTATTTATTTATTTACTACATTTATATGCCACCCTTCTCACCCCGAAGGGGACTCAGAGCGACTTACAAGGTATATATTACATAAAACAGGGGTCCTCAAACTAAGGTCCGGGGGCCGGATGCAGCCCTCCAAGGCCATTTACCCGGCCCTCGCTCAGGGTCAACCTAAGTCTGAAAGCACACAATAACAACAGTAACAACAATCTCATCTCATCAGCCAAAAGTAGGCCCATACTTCCCATTGAAATACTAATACGTTTATATTTGTTAACATTGTTCTTCATTTTAATTATTGTATTTTAAAGTGGTTTTTTGCACTACAAATAAGATATGTATAGCGTGCATAGGAATTCATTCTTTTCTTTTTTTTCAAATTATAATCCGGCTCTCCAACAGTTTGAGGGACTGTGACCTGGCCCTCTATTTAAAAAGTTTGAGGACCCCTGACATAAAATATATTATATTAGCATAGTACAATATCAGTATTAAACATTGCTATATTGCACCATACCACTATATCGTAATATTATTAGTAATATTACATGTAATATAAATGCATAATTATAATATCATATTATTATTATATTGCATTACATTATAATATCATAAATATTATATGTACAGTATATTCTGGCGTATAAGACTACTTTTTAACCCAAGAAAATCTTCTCAAAAGTCAGGGGTCGTCTTATACGTGGGTGTAGTCTTATGCATGGGAGTCGTCTTAACTCTATATTTTAACTGGAAAAGTTGGGGGTCGTCTTATACGCCCAGTCGTCTTATATGCCGGAATATACGGTATATACAATATATTATATTATGTTATTAGAATAGAACAGGAGACAAGGTGGAACTGTCCCCTGGTCCCCTCTCTCTTCACTCTGGCCCAGAGCGGCAATACAATACATCAGCATAAACCAAACAAAACAATAATGAAAACCAAAAAATAAAATACAGTACGCAATAAACACAACATATTAAGAAATACAAAGATCCAACAGTGTGGACAGGGCCTATTGTCATTGATTTAAAAAATTTAAAACACTGGGTGTGACAGCAATAAAATAATTCTAAATGGAGGTTTTAGAGGGTGAGGTAGGGTTGATTGCCCCAACAGGTAGGGTAAAGTGCTTCAGAGGACATTTTGCAGAGAATTGGTCAGATCAGGGAATTAAAGTGTTTATGATGTGATTTTAAAGTGTTTACTGAAGTGTTTACATGACCGCATTTCCGTATGCGAACCCACACGATCTCTTCGTTCTTCTGGAGAGGCCCTGCTCATGATCCCACCTGCATCGCAAGCACGATTGGTGGGGACGAGGGACAGGGCCTTCTTGGTGGTGGCCCCACGACTCTGGAACTCCCTCCCCAAGGACATCAGGCATGCCCCAACATTGGCAGTCTTTAGTAGGACCTTGAAAATGTGGATATTCCAGTGTGCCTTCCCAGAATAAAGAATCCCAAGCAATATGTCCCAAATGCACTTTACGCGAGTTTTAGAATTGTCAGCATGCCCACCTATCTCTAAAATATCCATCCTATTTCTCTTGAACATGCCCAGCATTTTAAAATTTTAATCATTACATTTGGCCCTGCCACAGGTTTTAAATGCGTCGTGATATTATTGTTATTGTTTTGCTTTGTTATGAGTTATTTATTGTTGTATTGTTATTGTTGTGTTTTATTGATATATTTGGGCTCGGCCTCTTGTAAGCTGCACCGAGTCCTGCGGGAGATGGTGGCGGGGTATAAATAAAGGTTTAATATTATTATTATTTTAATAATTGATGCATCTGTTTTATGTGTTTTAATTCTCTGTTTTTAATGTAGATGTTTTTACCAATTGTATGTTTTTAATTATTGCCGATATGTGAAGCCACTCTGTCTCCCCCTCGGAGTTGAGAAGGGTGTGGCACAAATACAGTAAATAAATAAATAAATACTATAAGGCACAGTCTACTTATGTGGAGTGTACCACAGACCTTAATAAGTACATTCCACAGAAATAGATGGTATGCTGGACAAATAACACATGGCAATTTTGAGCTGCTGCTGCTGCTTTGGTATTATTATTGATGCATCATGTAAAATATCTGTTTCAAATTGCCCTCAATGCGTGAATACACAGAAAGACAAGATATAAATGGAACAATTAAGCTTCCCATCCACCCATTGCAGACTATAAGTGGCTTTTGAATTCAAACACAGCCATAATAGCAAAACTTTCAGGATCAATAATATACTTTAAGCTTCTACCAAGAACTGTCTCCAACCACAAAATAATTCAAGAAAGGAGGCTGCCCAATTTGACACACATAAACACATACGCACACACCCTTTTGCCCTTCTTCAGGGCAAAACAGTTGCTACATAAGCTATTGGTTTCTACTTCAAACCTAACATGTTTGTAGAATTTCTCATAGGAAATATAAATACACCTCTGCGTGTGTGTGTGAGAGAGAGAGAGAGAGCATGAGCATGCTTATGTGGACAACAGCCTAGTTTCCATTTTCCTATAGCCACAAAACTTGCCATATGCAAAAATGCGCAGACTTGCAATTATCCTTACAATTGTTTTATGATGCGTGTAGTTCAGATTGCTTGGAAACAGAAGTGTTTCCAATTTCATTTGTTTTCTGAAGTTTGAAATATTTATATATACATTATTATTATTATTATTATTATTATTATTATTAAACCTTATTTGTACCCCGCTAGCATCTCCCGAAGGACTCGATGTGGCTTACAAAGGCCAAGGCCTCAAACGACAACAGACAATAACAATACAA